CCAACATAGAAAATTCCATTGCAACCTTTCTTGTCAGACAACTTGGCAGAAGGTTTTATTTCAATGTCTTGTTCCACGTATAAGAATGAGTTGTCAATAGAAATAATATGAAACCTGTCGCAAGCAATATCTACTGTTGTTGAAGAACCTTCTCCAAACTCACCTACGTTTCCATAAGAAACAGCAGTTGTATATTCGTAAGTTCCAGGAACTATTTCTGACCTTCTAATGGCATTGTCGCATTCGTTATACCATTCGGAAACATTTCCGTTCATGGCATCCAAAACTGTTGGCGTTATATTCTGAGCGGCGTACATTTCATATGGGTAAAAATATAGAATAGTTGAATTTATGTGTCATAATAGAACCCACTCGGACCAAGCTTTACTTTCTTCCTGACTGAATCTTTAACTCTTCTTTTTCCTTCATTGCCACTACTTTCACTAGATGAAGTTACTTCTTCACTACTTTCACTTTGTTCTACTCTTCTCTTCTTCTTTGGTGTCGCTTTTGGTAACTTGCCCTCTGCTTCAAGTTGTTGCATCTTTGCCTCATGTTCACCTAGTATGTTGTAAATTTCCCATGTCCTTTTTGCCTTTGGGCTCTGGTCGCCCATCTCAGGTAACCTATATCCTAGAAAGATTTTGTCATAGTTTGTATTTGAGTCTTCGCTTATTGTTTGCATGACTCTTTCCTGAGTTTCCGGTTCAAGCTCTTCAAACAGAGCTTGTCCATATGGAATAAGCTCGTTTCCAAATATATGTTTTTGTAGCCATTCTGGTTTTCTTTCCATGTTACCAATAATATCTTTTGTGAATGGGAAAGCTTTTACCCAATGTTTCAGTCTTGCGTCATTTATTTCTGTAGTTGGTTTTATTTTGTCAAGGAACATGTTTTTCAATACTAACATTTCATTTGGTACTGTCCATTTGAATTTTCTTAAATATTCATCCCTTCTCAGTTCATTGTCTGCAAAGTAAGTTTTTATGACATTTTGCAAACTTTCGTTTGCAAGGTCATGTACAATAGGTTCTCTTCCTTCTCTCTCCCTAACTTTCTTTCTAAACTCTTCACCAAATATACCATCTCTATGGTTCTGTGTAGTTCTTTGAGATAAATGTTCTAGAACGTCAGGTGTTATATTTCCATCAGCCATGTTCATTTCATACTGGTCCAAAATATCTGCATGTTTCATATCTTTCAATGGCATTAAAGCCGCGCTGAAAATACCAGCTATATCTGGTTCACCATTCACTTCCATTGCGTCTACAACTTCTTGGAATTGAGGTTGTAAGTTTATGAACCACCTATCCGGATTAGCTTTATGACCCCATCTCATTGTAGTTCCATAGTCTGCAGAAACAAAAGTAGGTTTGTTTCCATATTGGCTAGGTTCTGAATGAACTTTAAACAATGTTTCATTTCTATATGTTTTGTTGAAATTTAACCTTTTATTTTCACCGAGTTCAGCCAAAGATTGAACGTTATATGGTCGTAAGTAAAAAGGATTATTGTATTTGCGTACATTTTCTTTCAGTACTTCCATTCTATGCTGAATATTTTCATCTGATGTTGGAGTCTTTTGTATGTCGGTGAACATTTTTCGATATTCTTCTACTCTGTCAGCCGAATTTTTCTTAGACTCTTGGAAAGATTCCATATTCACCTCATAGTCTTGTTGAGGGTCAAGATTTTTCGGCTGTTCCAAATCTTCATCTAGTTCTGTGAAGTTAGTTTCCAAAGGAGGGACTTGTTCGTTTCCTTCAGGCTCTTCTAGCTGTTGTTGCTGAACTATTTCTTCCATGTCTGGTTGTATCTGAACTTCTTCCTGTTGAGTTTCTTGTACCTCATCTGCTGACATTTCATATATTCCGAGACCGTTTTTAACAAGTTCCCTATCTAAGTCATCCGGACTCATAAACCTTTCTTCTTTCGTTCCGTCTCTATTTTTTACGCGTTTCATGAAGAGAGTTGAATTATCATTTAGCTCTGACATCAAATATCTCGGAGTAAATTCATCCATGTCATTTGGATGATATGCTATTAAATCATATCCCTTAGCGAGCTTGTATTTTCCAGGTTTGAAATTATATCCCATTTGGTGCTGAACCATAAAGCTAAATAGGTTCGGGTCAGTATTTCCTTCCTTGAACTTTTTAATAGCTTCTTTATATCTGTCACTAAAGTCAAGAGTATCTGGGTAACCATAATCTTCCTTAAGCATTTTTAAGAATTCTTGGTTTCCTTGTTCTCTACTTCTTTTATGTCCTTGCTCTGTTTGTGGTTGTTGTTGTGCAGGGTTTTGAACTGTTGGTTGTTGTGTAGTGTTTTGAACTGTTGGTTGTGGTGCTGGATTTTGAACTGTTGGTTGTTGTTGTTTTGGTGCATGCCTGTGTCTGTGTCCATGTGACGATGTAAATGTTTTAGGTAGTCCTGGTGCAGGTGCTTCTCTTGGAGGGTTTGGTGGTATATAAGTTCACTAGCTAGTATATAAGTTCCACCAGCTGGTATATAAGTTCCACCAGCTGGCACATATGTTCCATCTGCAGCATAATGTCCTACCTGACTTTTCGTTCTTAAGAAAGCATTTACTAGGTCTGTTTTGGTCTGTTGTAACTCTTTTTCTTGACTTTCCACAACAGTTGCTCTAACGGCGTCATAGGCACTTTGAACTGCCTGTCTCGTTGCTGCATCTGTTATTTTCGTCATATTTTGTGCTACTTCTCTTAACTCTTTGTCGAAACCTTCAGACTTCAGTTTCTTTCCAGATGAGAAGTCGTTCACTAGTTTCACCTTACTATGAAGAGCTTCGAAGGCATTCTTAAAGTCAGCATTCATTAAAGCTTCATTTGAACTGTCTTCATCCGCTTGTATTTTTGTCCTTATTGACCCTAGAAGTTGGGCTGCTTTAGCGTTGGCTTGGGCATCTAACCAGTCATTATTAGCTTTTATATATTCTGCGCTTTTCATTGCCTTTTGCATGGCTGTGTCGTTATTTTTACTTTCTTGTGCTAAGTTTTCATACTGTACGGTTTGGTTTTGCAACTGTAAAAGTTTTTCTGCCTTTACATTTGCTTCAACTTCTTTTTATACTCATCGCTATCCATATATGTCTTCAGGGCTTTTTGTTTTATCTCTTCATCTTTCAGTACTTTATATTGAGTAGTATGGTTTTTCAAATTTATAACATCTTGTTCCATTTTTGCTACTTCTGCTGCTTTTTCTGACACTTTTTTCGCATATTCCTCTGTACTTAGTTCTTTCAGTTGTTCTTCTTTCTTCTTTTTCTCTACGTTTAACTCATTGAGTTTCTTTGTGTGTCTGTCATATTCTAGTTTCTTTTCGTTTTCGCTTATTTGTTTCTGTATGTCTATGTTTGACTTTTTGACATCTGTTATTTGATTTTTGAGTGAACTCAAATTCATTTGACTTTGAGGTTATAAGCTGTTCCGTCTGCAGCTCCACCATAGCCTGCCATTTTCGCTAAAAGTGCCGCTCTTAAACCTCCACTCTGTGCACCAATAACTCGGTTTAAAAGCATAGGGTTGCTTGACATTTGTTGCAACATAGTGGGGTCATTCATCATTTGTTGTTGCAACTGTTGTTGTGGTGTCAGTTTTACTATTGGATGTTTCAATGCTCCCTTCCTCTTACGTATATTCTTACGTAGCTTACGTGGCATTTTAAGTGAAGTTAAAAAGCGGTTTTTGACAGATGTTTATATGACACTTTTTGTTCAGCACAAAAAACTACTCGGTCAAAGTGTTGTCAGTTTTGTAAAATAACCGTCCTATCTCATTCTATAAGGGAGAAAAGGCTTCTCAAAGTATACTTCCTTGGAACGCCTGTAACTTTTCCTGTAGCGACGATAGACCATTACTTGTCCGGACAAAGTTATACTATTTTGAGTGCTCTACAAAAAAGTCAACGGCTGGCTCGTCCTCAGAAATTTTTTATGGGCTAGAGGGCGCAACGCGCCTGGAAGCCCTCCGAATAAAAACTTCATTTATACTAAACATCTTCGGGCTAGAGGGCGCAACGCGCCTGGAAGCCCTCCGAATAAAAACTTCATTTATACTAAACATCTTCGGGGCTAGAGGGCGCAACGCGCCTGGAAGCCCCACTACCTTTTTTTTTTAACGATACTATTCCTTTTTCATTTTAATCTAATATGATATTAATTACTTTCGATTTAGCTATAAAATGATGATATGTTTTCAAAAATCATATTTTCAATCTGTATAATGCATAATTCACCAAATGTCTCATTTTTGATATTGCGAGATATTTTTGCTATCGGTTTCGCAATTTTGACACAATAGCAAGAGGGTTCTATAAGCATGACTATCGAATTTTTTTTTAGGTTTCGCAAAACAACCAAAAATTAATTAGCTATAAAAGTGACAATTTTAGCAAAACGAAACCCTTATTCGATTTCGAATAATACTTGTTTCTGAATATAAATATTCAGAAATTTTTGAATATTTTCTTAAAAGAAAATTCTGTTTCACTTCAAGCACGGTAATCCAAAAGACGAATAAATCAAAAAACATATAAATGAAACGATTTCATCATATGAAACTATCATAATCTAATTTGATTGAATGTGTTATCTCAAAAATCTGTTTTTCAATTTTGTCAAATGAACTCCCACTATCCAATATCTTAAAAATATTTCAGCTATAAGAATTTCTCAAATTATATCATTCATATACCAAATCTTGGTAAGCCATTCAAATACGAATCCTTTTAGAAACAAAGGAATTTTTATAAAGAAATATTTATATTAAAATAGCAAGATGCATTCATTCAAACACTGATTAAACCATGAAACTTACGTTCCAATTTACGTTTTTTTCGTTCTAATATTTTTATTGGATTTTTTTTTCTTTTATATTTCTATCATTTGACGAGATACTTTCATTAAAAACATTTGTCATTTTTAAAACAATTTCAAACAATAATCATTTTTTAAATAAACAAAAAAATATAAATAATTTTCACTTTGGAAGTAAATGAGTTGCTCGATGAATAGGACGTCTAGAAGTATAATGGCTTGAAGGCACTGTTATCTTCTGATGCTTAGGAATAGTTAAATCTTTTTCTCTACTATGGGAATAAACCAAAGGAGTTTTCTTGAGAGCTAAACTTTCTCCTACAATAGGTGCTCTAAATTCCGTTTTCTTCTGAACAGAAATATTGTTGAGACTCTTTCTCGCTGAGACATTTCCTTTTGACTCTCTTGCAGACAACTTTTTCGATTCTGTAACATTTTCTTTGATTTGTTCTGGTTGATTTTCTTCTTTTACTTGTTCAGTAACATCCATGAATGGAATATTACCTCTAGAATCAATGGAACCACTCATTTTACTTACAACATTCATTGCAAGTTTGTATTCAACCATTCTTTCATTGTCATTTGTTGGATAAACACAAATGTATTTGTTCAAACTTCTTCCTTCCCTAACAATGTCTTGTAATATCTCTGGATGTGCAGCCTTCTTGTTGAACATGTTGTTGATCTGCTCTTCAGACATTGTTGATAATTTGACAATGTGTTCTTGAGGTGGAGTCATGATCTTGATTAGAGTTGAAAGCATGTCAATCTTGAGTGATGACTCCTTGGCAATATTTGCAGCAAGAGAAGGACGGTAGTTGACTTCTAAGATCTTTGGCTCGTAGTTCTTGTCAATTAAAATATCAAATCCAAGAAGTTGGAAGCATTGCTGGAAAAGATGGGCTGGACAATACTTGATTTCGGATAATCTGAGGATTTTGAGTGAAGAAATTACGGATAAAACAATGATTCTGTCAATTTTTCCCCAAAGAACTTGAGTATTTGTAACTCTTTCAAGTTCAGCAAATGTTTCGGAGACAGTCTTTGTTATCTGTTCAATCGAAACATGATTTGGATTCTTTCTGTTGACAGCAGTGTTTGTTATCTGACCAAATTGTGAATCAGTGCTATTTGGTGCAGAACAGAATCTTGCAATACCATCACGATAAACATAAATGCGCAATGGATGGATTGATGCAACTAAAGCGTAGATTCTTAAGTCAAATTTGGTGTTATTAATTAATGCGGATTCAACAAACTCCTGGATAACCGCTGATGACTTCTGATAGTTGAACTTCGTTTCAGGCTTGATAATTACAATACCGTTACCAAGAGAACCATTATTTGGTTTGTAAATGTATTTCTTGTTTGAAGACTTACGATCTTCAAGGAATTGTTGGTATTCTTGGGGAACAATGTAGCTCTTTGGGAAGAAATTGTATACAGCTGGAAGCTTTAATGACATTCTGTTCAAAAGACGGAAAAGAGGAGCTTTTCTGCAAATGTAATTGATTCCAGGCAATCTGTTAACAAGTTGCCATGGTTTTATACCTTGCATGTCGTGATCTTGCTCATGTAATGTGTCATACCACACAATCGGACAAGATTCTTTATCTTTCTCGTTGTTAACAATTGAAGCTCCTGCTTTCGTAATAGCTGCTATAACTGTTCCAAAGAGGATTTTACCGCTTGCAACGCGAAGTGCCATGCGAAAAATGAAGTTGTCACTTCCTATAAACACTTTTTATCGATTTTTCCATCGTCAAATAAAATTTCACTTCGAAAAATATGATTATATTTATTCTCCTCCATCTAAAAATTTTCTGTATCGTTAATTGTCAAAAATTTGAGAAAAAATTGTCAAAATTTCAATGAGTTTTTGTTTTGAATGTGATTATTGATCGGCCACTTGAACTATGAAAATTTTTATCCATTATATTGATTTTGGCTACGTGATTATATAAAGCGCATTCTTTCAATTGAAAGTTTCAGATTTCAAAAGTTTGAATGATTTTATTATGGTATACCATAATAAAATAGACTACTCGGCTAATATATGGGATAAAATCCATCCAGTCAACTGTTTCAATGAATAGTCCTAGATTGGCACCACATATTGTCTAATTTGTGATTAATGTTATTCATGGGGAAAACTCACAAACATTCCGCCTAAAAAGTGAATTATCTCTCTGAGGACATCACATAATAAATATATGCAACTTTCTTTTTATTAGATTTATGACAAAATAAACAAATGAAATAGAATAAATTATGCCGCTAATATATGTGATTGAGAATAAATATAATTTCCCAAGAAAACACTTATTCTTCGTGGTCCAAAATTATACATATCAGCATTAGAATATAGGGATATTTGTGCTCTTCCATCTATAAAATAGTTTAAACCGGAGTATGTTCGACCATCAATCACAAATATTTCATTTATATCTCTTATAGAAGAAGGATGTCTTGTTAGATAAACAAAACCTGAACCTCCTTTTCCAGCATCTCCACCATAAAGACCACAGCCACCACCTGAATAAAATACATAATAACCAGTAGTTGGGGAATCACTTTTAAATTTTTTACATTCTGAAACAGCTGAATAACTCTTACCATTTCCAAAAAATTTGGCATCAGTAGGGGTATTTTTAATTCCTCCTCCGATATCATATGTATTAGCACTGCTGGAAGCTTGGTTATGGTCATAGGCACCTCCACCAGCAATTAAGAACCTAGAGTTAAGATTAGTATCTATTCTGAAATCTGTAGCACCGCTGCCACCATATATACATCCGGCGCCCCCTCCATTAAATGCTTTATAAGTCAGCCTATTATCATTAAAATAATATTCGCCCATTCCACCTATATAAAGATGGATTATTTGATCTTTAGGTATATAAACAAGCGCATAACTATAACCACCATAACCTTTTTCATCAACTATACGTGAACCAGCATGAGGTCCCCAAACTTCAAGTAGATAAGTACCCTTTTTCATGTTCAGTTTTATTCCGCTACACGAACTATTCGAATTACAAGGATAGGGAAACACACATATTTCTCTAGAGCAAACAGGATTTTTAATCACATTAGTTGTGTCTAAAAATTCATATGAACCGAAAAATGTTTCAGATTGAACTCCAATTACAGATTTACAAAGTAAATAAAGCAGCATTTTTAATTAATAAAAATGTATTTAAATAACAATTATGATCAATTATGAATTCATAATCTTGGATAGCTTCTACTATTGTAACTTTTATTGTACATTTCGGGGATTGTAGTAGATTATTATCATTCAGCATAATAGATTGAAACGTAAATTATTAATTTTTTGTAGGATTCATTACTTAATTTTATTTTCTTCTTGGTTAATTATGATAACATCAGTAGAGGTCTATCATATTATTCCAGTCCGCAGTCGTTGAATGGTTGTTCCTCTTCCAATCGAATGAATCAGGTTTGGAAAGATGTATTATAATTTTCTGAAGTTTACAATTGAATTGATAGAAAATGAAAATAAATAAAAGTTTAGCTTGTGTTTTTATATAAAAATTCAAATTATTACAATATTTCTCAAACAATGATTATTTTTTATTTTTAGGTGACCGTTTATTTTCGCGGGGGAAAGATGTCTAGCTTAGAGCGGGCAACTATTCCACGACTTATTTTCAATGATAAGTTTATAGAAAATCTTACTGGCTCTAAGGAAAGCGATGATATCAAGTCAATTCGATTCGATTATTCACCAAAACGTGGATATATCGCAAACATTGAACCAATATCTAAATTTTCTTCATTAGACAGTTTAAGCCTCATTGGTCATGGTATCAAAGATATCACTAATATTCAATCGATGCCTTATTTAACTCAACTTAATTTTTCTTATAACGAAATTTCAGACATCAGTCCTCTGACTAAACTGCGTCAAATCAGATCAATTACATTAAATCATAACAATATTTCGCAGATACCAAGGAATATCAAGAACCTATCGAATCTTAGACAACTTCGATTGAATTTTAATCCAATATCAGATATATCAGAGCTACATAAGCTTACAGAATGTAAAAATCTTACGCTTTTAGATATAGAAGGAACTCCTATTTCAAGAGATCAGTCTTCAGAATTATATTTAATCTACATTCTACCGCAATTGACAGTAATCAACATGAAGAACATTACTATTGAGATGAGAAGAACTGCATCCGAGAGATATGGACGCCTTCAACAAGAAGAATTGGTTCAAGAAAATTCGCAGCTTCTCGATAGAATTGAAGCACTACAAAACGAACTTAACAACTCGAATAAGTCCAACCTAAATATACAAAACAACGCAGATAATTTGAAAGAAATAGAAGATTTACGTCATTTGAATCAAGAATTACAACAAAAGAATCGAGAACAAGAGAGTTTAATTTCTCAACGAACATCAGAATTGGCTGATGCACGTAATGAAATATTCAAACTTAGTCAAAATCAAAATACCGAATCTCCAATCAAATCAATTCTTCAAGATACTGAATCAAAAGTGGCAGAATTAAATACGAAATTAATGGAAGCAGATAAGAAACTTAAAAGCAAGACAAAAGATTTCGAAACGCTTGAACAAAAATATAATGTCTTACTTGAGCAGTTTCACACCATTAATCAAGAGAAGAAAGCTGCTGCAGACCAAGTTGAAGCTCTTAAATCACAAATTAAAGATCTTCAAAGCAAATCTGCAAATTCATCAAGCGATTTCAAGGCAAAACAGAACGAAATCGACAAATTAAAGCAGATTAACGAAGCACAAAAGAATTTCATTGAAGATATCCAAAGAAAATACGATGAATTGAGTCAATCAAATCTAAATTCTCCAAAAGAAAGGACAAATCCATTCCAACAAGAGCTTGAGAACCTTAGAAGAAGATTACAAGACCAAGACAAGGAAAACAAAGCGTTAACAGACCAAAACATGGCTCTTAATAACCAAATTAACTTTTTGAAGTCACAGTTACAGAATTCTCGACAGCCACTTCCATCAACGCAATACATGGAAGAAGAGAATAGTTCCAATCTCGATGAATCCGATATCCAAAACATGCTTGAAACAAATCAAGTGATTTCGGATTACGAAAATAAGATAAAAGAGCTAAATGAGACAATATTAAGTCTTAGAAATGCAGCACCTAAAACTCCTGATACTTCTGCTAAAATGAAACGTGAGAATTCACTTCTTAAATCCGAAAATGAAGAATTAGTTTCAAGAGTTAATCAAATTAAAAAAGAAAATACACAACTTAAATCTGATATTCAGGATTTAAACAACCAATTAAGAAATAAAAAGAAAGATTTCGCAGGATCAGTACAGAACCAGTTAAATATCATTAAACTGTTCTTAAACAAGTTATTTGCTGATTTTAATTACGAAATTCAGAAAACAAAACAAAAAATTTCTGACGAATTTTTGACAATTTTGAGAAAATTACAACAACAAAAAGAAAATGAAACAAATAAAACTAAATTATTAGAAAGACAAATTAATGATCTCAAGCAAGAAAACATGAAATTGAAAGATAAAATCAATGATTTGCAAAATAATTTACAAAAAATTTTACAAGAAAATGAAAATCATTCCAAACAAATCTCAACACACATTGATGGGTTATCTCAGTCTATTAAAGAAAGAGATGACCAGATACTTAAAGATAAAGAAAAGATAGAAAACTTGCAAAACAAAATTAAAGGAAAGGAAATTGATTTCGATCAAGAAAAATCGAATTTAATTAAACAAAATGAACAGAAAATGAAAGATTTAACGGATGAAATGGAAAACTTGAAGAGAAAACTATTAGATAATGAACTGGATGTTGTCAAAGATCAACTACAAAAAGAGAAACAAAAATCACAAGATTTGGAAGAAAAAATTGAAGAAAAAGATTCAACAATTCAAATTTTGAAGGAAAAAATCAATGAAAACCTTGAAGAATCAAAGAAATCATATGATAAACTAATGAATGATAAACAAGAAGAGATCGCTTTGTTGCAAAAACAAATCAATGAATTACAGGAATTGATTAAAAATAATGGAGAATCTTCAAAAACAAAAATTTCTTCTTTGTTGCAAGAAAATACGAATTTGAACACAAAAATACAACAACTCAATAGCTTGTTAAAACAGAAAGATGATAAAATCAATGACTTGCAAAATGAAATCAATGATTTGACACAAAATAAAATAGATTTAGAAAAACAAATTCAAAATCTTCAGACGATTATTTTCGATTCAAAATCTCAAATTGAATCTTTGAATGAAAAAATCTCTGGTTTACAACAATTATTGAAATCATCACAAGAAACAATTGATTCTCTAAATGATAAAATCAAGCAAACTCAAATTGAATTACAAGAATCTAAAGATTTTGCTGAAAAATTGCAAAATGACATAAATGAGGAGAAAAAGAAGACAGAAGATTACCAACTCAAGTTAGACGATATTGATAGATTAACAAAAGAACGAAATCTATTAAAAGAAACTGAAAAATCACTAACTTTGACAAATGCAGAAAATATGCAAACAATTGACAAATTAAAAGATGAAATTGAACAACTTAATGATAAAATTAGCCAATTAAACACTACTATTGACCAGTTAAATGACGTAATTTCTAAAAAAGATGAAGAAATTAAACAAGATTTGCAGAAATTTGAATTATCTGAGAAAGTTCATCAAGCAGCTATCAATGATTATCAGAAACAGTTAGAACATCATGAAGAACAGATAACTTTGCTAGAAGAAGAAATAGAAAAGATTTCTAAAGAAAATTCTGATTTGAAAGCAAAAATTTTGGAGAATGAAGCTAAATTAGACGATTTTGATGATGTTTCTAAGCAAAATAGCGAATACAAAGCTAAGATTGAACAGTTAGAAGAGGAATTAGCTGATTACGAGTCAAATCTTCAAAAATTATCTGAAGAAAATGGAAATCTCGAGATCCAAATTGAAGAAATCAAACTGAAAACAGTTCCAAACACTGATTTCAATGAACTCAGAACTAAAAACACTGATTTGGAAGCACAAATTAGAGAATTAAAGAGATTATTAGCAAATGATGACGGAAACAAACAAGTAATTGCACAAAAAGATAAAGAAATATTATCTTTGAACCAAACAATCATTGATTTACAGCACAATAATCAGTTATTGAATGATAAAATCAAAGATATCGAAATGACAAAAACAAATTATCCAGAAAGATCATTTAATAACGATGAACTCCATCAAACAATAGAAGATAACAATGTATCTATGTTTGATATGCAGAACAAACTTAATTTAGCCAATCTCAAGTTGAAACAAAGTGAAAAAGAAATTCAAAATCTCAAAAATGAGTTATTGAGTTTGCAAAGTGAAAATGAAGAGATGAACTCAACAATAAACATGCTTAAACAATCTCTTACATCCAAAGAAAACGAGATCAATGAATTAAATGATTCCGTAACAGTTAAAAATTCTCAAATTGAAGAAATTCTGAAAAAGAATCAAGTTAAATTCGACAAAACAGGAAATAAAGAGCAGCAATTACAAGTTCTGAACTCTTCTCTTAAACACTCTAATGATATTATACAAGAGAAAGGCAAAACAATTGATTCCCAAAACAAATTAATCAAAAATTTGGAAGACACAAAACAAAAATTGCAAAAACAAAACTTTGATTTGCAAAACAATGTGAGTAATTTAACAAATGACTTGGAAAAGACTAAAAGAGAATTACTTAGTTTGCAGAACTCTAAGAATGATAACATCAAACAATTAGAACAAGAAAAAGAATTGATTTTGAAACAAAAAGAAAATGAAAATAAAATTTCTGAAGAAAAAATCAAAAATTTGACTTTGCAAATAAGTAATTTACAAAATACAATAAGTCAAAAAGATAATGAGATACAAAATAATTTGCAGAATCTTCAAAAAGTCTCAAATGAGTTGGATTTCATTAAGAATTCCACAAAAGATCATGAAAATGATTTGACAGAGAAAGAAGATGTTATCAATAATTTGAGAAAATTGTTTGATGACAAAATGAAAGAAAATGAAAAGAAGACAAAGGAATTCCAGGATTCTCTAAGAGAAAAGGATTTAATGATCTCACAATTGGAAAATAAAACAATGTTCTTTGACCAACAAATGAAATCTAAAGATGATAAAATTGATTCACTTCAAATTCAAAATGTCACTTTTCAAGGTGAACTGAAAGAAATTCAAAACAAATTAATAAATTCATTGAAACAAATTGATGAGTTACAGAAAGAAAATGAATCATTCCAAAAAGAACTTCAAACAAGAGATCAGAACTTAGATGATTCTCATAAACAAATTGAAGAATTACAAGCAAAAATTGATCAATATGAAGAAGAAATCAAATCAAAAGATGAAAATCTAAATAATTTGCAGAATAAGATTAATAATTATGAGAATGAATCAAAGACTAATAATGAAAAGATCAAAGAAATGGAAGGAAAACAAAAATCAAATGAATTACAAATTAATGATTTACAAAACAATGTTTCTCAAACAGAAAATGAAAATAAACAACTTAAATCTGAACTTGAGAAATTGCAAACAGAGATCAAATCTAAATCAGACCAATTAAATGAAATCCAAAATGAAAGTAAATCTCAATCTGAACAAATTGTCACTTTTCAAGGTGAACTGAAAGAACTTCAAAACAAATTAACAAGTTCATTGAAACAAATTGATGAGTTACAGAAAGAAAATGAATCATTCCAAAAAGAACTTCAAACAAGAGATCAGAACTTAGATGATTCTCATAAACAAATTGAAGAATTACAAGCAAAAATTGATCAATATGAAGAAGAAATCAAATCAAAAGATGAAAATCTAAATAATTTGCAGAATAAGATTAATAATTATGAGAATGAATCAAAGACTAATAATGAAAAGATCAAAGAAATGGAAGGAAAACAAAAATCAAATGAATTACAAATTAATGATTTACAAAACAATGTTTCTCAAACAGAAAATGAAAATAAACAACTTAAATCTGAACTTGAGAAATTGCAAACAGAGATCAAATCTAAATCAGACCAATTAAATGAAATCCAAAATGAAAGTAAATCTCAATCTGAACAAATCGTCACTTTTCAAGATGAAGTGAAGTCAAAAGACGAAAAACTTCAAACACAAGAAGAGCAAATCAAAGAACTTGAAAACAAACTAAATGAATTAGAAAATTCATTGAGAAACAAAGGAGATTTACAAGTTCAGTTGAATGACAGAGAAAAAGAACTAAATAATCTCAAAAAAGTCAATGAAAATCTTGTAAAACAAGTTGAAGATCTTCAAGTCAACAAAGAACAAAGTGATAAGAAATTATCAGAAAACGATGAAGAACTTACTAATTTAAGGAGAAATAATGCTGATCTCAAGAAACAAAATGAAAAACTCAGAGAAAATAAAGAAAAAAATGAGTCAGAAATCATTAGTTTACAAAACCGTTTAAGTGAACTGACAAATTCTCATAATGATGAATTATTCACTGTTAAAAGGAAATTGGAAGAAAACAACTCAATTGTTAAACAACAAAATGCTAAAATAGAAATGTTGAAACAACAATTGATTGATCAAAATAAAACAATTGAAGATTTACAAAAGATTATAAATGAATCAGAAAATCTTCAATTTTTGGTTTCAACTTTGAAGACAGAAAACAATACACTCAAGAAAGTCACTCAAGATAATGACTTGCAGAACAAGAAGACAAATGAAGATCTTTTATCTCAAATCAATGATTTACAAAATAAATTGAAAGAAACCGAAAAATCTTCTCAAATTCAGAAATCTAAATATGAGTCACAACTCAATGAAATCCAATCCAAACTTAACCAGTCAATTAAAGATAATAGTGATTTGATGGATAAACATGAAAATGAACTCAAGAATTTAGATGAAAAATTACAAGAATCACAAAAACAAAAGAATGATTTAGAGAAGAAATTTGAGATGAATTCTAAGCTGTTGAACGAAAACAACAAACTTAGACAAGAGAAGTTTGATAAGACTTTGGAAGAATTAACAAATGTTAAATCAGAAAATGGAAAATTAAAAGAACAAATCGATGATTTAGAGAAAGAAAAGAATGAAATGACAATTTTGTTGAATACAACTCAAAACAATCAAAATGAAGATCTTCAAAACCTTCAAAAGAAACTAAATGCCACAATTGATGAACTCAAGATGACAACAAATGATTACAACTCTCTAAAAGAAAAGTTTGAAAAATTAAACGGAAAAAGTGACAATGATAATTCTTTGATTTCTAGTTTGAAGAGAGAAAATGACAAAATGAAGAATGATTTGCAGAAAACACAAGAAGAAAACAAGAGTTTAGTTTTGAAGCTCAATGAAAATGAGAAAACGATTTCGAAACTACAAAAAACTAATGATGAAATATCAAGAAAATTAACTTTTGTTGAAACAGAAAATGGAGAACTTAAATTAACTGTTAATGAAATGGATGAAAAAGTAACAACAAATGAAACTAATTCTAATGAAAAAGAAAGACTTATTTCTAATCTACAAAAACAAAACAAACAATTAGAAAATGAAAATAAGACTTTGCAAAGTGAAATCAAGTCATTACAAACTGATGAATTTGTTAAAGATCAAATGAAGAAACAACTGAATGATTATGAACAAAAAGTATCTAAACTTGAAGATGAAAAACGTCAATTACAAAATGAAATGACTAAATATAAAGATGATAATTCAACAATGAAGAAAGTTTTGACGAAACAAGAAAAAATCATTCAGAAATTAAATACAAAAGTTGAAGATTTGACAGAAACAAAACAAACAATGAAACAAACTCAATCAGAAGAATTATCATCTTTGGAAGAAGAAAATGAACAAAAGAAAGAAGAGCTCAAACATCTCAAAGAAGAATTCTTAGAGAAAGAAAAACGTTTGAAAGGTTTAGAAAAGTCGATTCAAAAAGTGACAGAAAAGATCACTTCACAAAAAGAAGAAATCGAAAATCTGAGGAAACAAAAACTTATCGATGATAATACAATAAGTGAATTGAAATCTTCTATCTCAGAAAATGAAAAAGAATTGGAAAATCTTCGTAAAAGTGACAGTGATAAAAGTGACATCATTGAACAACTTAAATCCGAATCTGAGAATTTGTCGATGAGTTTGAAATCTAGATCAAATTACGAAAATGAACTTACAAAGTTACAGAACAAGATACAAAAGTTAAATGACCAAATTTCTGATAAAGAAGATGATCTCAAATCCAAAGAAATTCTTTTGGAGAAATTACAAAAGAAAGTCCAAGAAACAGAAGAAAAATTCTCTGAAACTCAGAAGTTGAACAAAACAATGAAGGATGAAAATGCCAATATCTCCAATCAACTTAGAGCTTTGCAGATGGAATTGAATTCCAAGACAAAACAAATTGAGAAATTGGTGAAAGATAACACAAACTTGAAAGAAAAAGTGACAATTTTAGAATTCAAACAATCGAATTTTGATGACGACAATAAAGAGAAAGAAGAGAAGATAGAGAATCTTGAGAATGATAACTTCAACCTTAAGAAACAAATCATTCTTAATGAAGAATACAAGAAACAAATTGATGAACTTAAATTCCAAATTTCTCAATTAAATTATGACAACAAAGAAAAAGTGACAAGATTACAAAATGAAAATACTTTGTTGAAGACGAAATCATTGCAAAACAAGTCAGAATTGAACACAGTTAAGAAGGAAAGAGAAGATTTGCAAAGTGAAATCGAAGAACTCAAAATGAAATTCGATTTAGAACAAAAAGAAAATGAAAATTTGAAGAAACAAAACAAAGAAATCAAGAACCAGTTTGAAACAACTAAATCAGAGAAAATCTATTTAGAAAAAGATATATCCAACGCTAAAACAGAACTAAATGATCTTTTGGATAAGAACAATAAACTTGAAAGCGAATTAAGGAAGAAAGAAAGAGAAATTACAAGATTATCTTATTCTGAAAACAAATTAAATGATTTGCAAATCGAATTAAACAAATTGAAATCAGAGATGAAAGACAAAACATCAGAGATTGAACGTCTTTCAAATGAATTGTCATTGAAGAGTGAAGAAATTTATTCTTTCTCTTGTTCTTCAAATTCTTTTGAAAAAGAAATCCAAACTAAATCAGATAAAATCAAATCTCTTGAAAACGAAATCAAGAAAGTACAAAAAGAAAATGAACAAATTAAAGATTTGGAGAACCAATTGAATGAAAAGTCTTTGATCATTGAAAATCTTCAAAAAGAATTCAAACAAAAAGATGAAAAACATGAAACAGTTTTGAATTCAATGAACGATAAAATGAAAGGTTTGCAAAATGATTTATCTGTTTTATCTGATTTGCAAAGAGAAAATGAAAAGATCACGAAACAAAATGAAGAAATAAAATCACAAAATAAGAAATTGAAAGAAGAAAATGACGATAAGAACAGGGAAATCAAGAAATTATCAAATACTTTGCAAAAAGGAGATATAGAAATGAATACTTTGAAAGATTTGCTTCAAACTAAAGAAGAAAAGATCAGAAATTACGAAGACATTCTTGAAAAAACGAAGACACAAATGGAAGACAAGAATTATGAATTTTCTAAAACAGTTAAAGATCAAAATGACAAAATCAATCAACTAGAAAAAGAATTAGAACAAAGAGATTTAGAACTTGATGATTTAACAAATAAATCAAAGAGTTTTGATGATGAAAAGAATGATAAAATCCAGAGTTTGACAACTGAAAACAAGAACTTAAAGAAAGAAAACAGAACTTTGAAAGGAATCATTAATTCAGTGAAGAAATCATCAAATGAACTTGAAGAAAGAATCAGAAACTTAGAAAGTCAACTTAAATCTCATTCTTCTTCTTTGATTGAATTACAAGAAAAAAAAGAAACAGAAATCTCCAAACTTCAAAAAGAAATCGATGAAAGAGAAGAAAAAATCAAATCACAGAATGAAAAACTGAGTAATTGCAGAAAAGAAGTTGAGAAAACTAAACAAGAAATAGAAGAAATGAAAGCTAAATTGAATTCTCAGTTGACAGAAGAAATACAAACAATCAAAGGAGAAAAAGAAGATTTATTGGAGAAAATCAAATCAATTAACAAAGAAAGAGATGAATTATCACAACAAATCAAATCTTTGAAGAGAGAAAATGATGATTTACAACAAAAACTCAAATCAGTCATTGAAGAAAGAGAAAAACTTGAAAAAGAAGTTAATGATTTAACTCAACAAATTAAATCTCTTAAAAACGAAATTGAAGAACAAAAAGAGAAATCAAAGAAAGAAATCGAGAATTTCTCTGAAAAACTCAAATCATCAAATGAAGAAAAACAAAAACTTCAAAATCAAAATGATGATTTACAACAAAAACTCGAATCAATCAAAGAAGAAAGAGAAAATTTGAAGAGAGAAAATGATTTGATCAACAAGAAATTGAAATCTCAAAGTGAAGAATTGCAAAAATTGAACAAAGAAATAGATTATTCTAAGTCACAAATTGATTCTCTTGATGAAGTAAACAAGAAACTTAACTCTACAAATGAACAAGAAAACAAACAATTAAATGATCAAATCAACAAATTGACAACGAAAGTTAATGATCTTAACAATGAAATTAAGAAATTAACATCAGAAAAGAACGATTTGATTGATCAAAACAAGAGATTGAATGAAGATTTATCAAAGAAAGTTAATCAATTTGATGAAGAAACACAAAAACTTAATGAACAACTAAAGAGATCCAAAGAAGAAATTAATGATATCAACAACCAAAACAAGAAACTTGATTCATTAAATAATGATCTCAAACAAGAAAATAACAAACTAAATCATGAAATAACAAAACTTAATTCATTAACCAATGAATTTAATGAACAAAAGAAGAAGTTTGATTCAGTTAAAGAAGAAAATTTGAGATTGAATTCATTAAATAATGAACTCAAGCAAGAAAATGAAGAAATATCAAAGAAACTCAAATCTCTTAATGAACAAATCAAAGAAATAACAAATGAAAACAACCAAGATCAAATTGATTTGTTGAACAAGAAGTTAAATGAAAATGAAACATTTACAAGAAAGTTAAATGATGATAAAGAGAATTTGGCAAAGAAACTTCAAATTTCTAATGAAGAAAACAAGAAATTGAACAAGAAAGTTGAAGATTTATCAGAAGAACTCGAAGAATCCAAGCAAAGAGAAGAAAATTCTTTGATTGATTTGCAAAACAAAAATGAAACACTTGAAAATCTCAAGACACAAATCAAGAAACAGAAACAGCAAATCCAAGAGATCAACAGAGAAAACAACAATCTCAAACAAGAATTAGAAAATTCTCAAATAGAAATTGATGATTTCCAAAATCAAATTGAAAATCAAAAACTCAAAATTGACAATTTACAAAAAGTAACAATAAACAATGAGAAAATCATCAAAGAACTTAAGAATGAAAATTTAGAACTCAAATCATTGACTTCTGATCTTCAACTTTCTCTTCATTCTTCTCAATCCGAAAAAGAAAAAATTGAAAAACAAAATGATGAAAATCTTAGAGATTTACAAAAAGCCAAAAGTGACATTTCTGATTTAACTAAGCTTCTGAAGAACAACAGTCCACAAGCATCAATTGACAACCGCAGAAAGTTCCAGATAAGTCAAACAAATACTACTGACATTGCAGCAGTTTCTGGAACATTTTCTGTAATGGAAGACCCAATTTCCGAAGAAATAGAACAGCTCAAAGATGAAAACAACAAAATGAAGAAAGATTTGTCACAGAAAATCAGAAATCTCCAAAAAGATAATGAATTTTTGAAGTCTGAACTTGAAAAAACAAAAAGTGAAAAAGAAAACGGACTTTTAGGAACAAAATTAAGTATTTCTGAGATTTCTAATGATAATGATGTTTATCTAATGAAGATAAACAATGATTTAGTTAAAGAAAATTCAGAATTAAAGATCAGAATTTCATTATTGGAGAAAGAAAATGAAGAAATGAAACAAATTAACAAAGAAAAGAAAGATAGAACATCGGAAATGCTCAGAGAAAAAGATATGAGGAAGAGAATGGAAGAAGAATTACAGAAACTAAGAAGAAGTGACAAAGAAAAGAACAACTTGATACAGAGAATCAAAAGGAAAGAAGAGACAGCACAAGAAGAAGTCAGAAAAGTTAAAGAAGAAATGATAATTCTCAAGAAAGTTTGTGATGAAAAGAATGCTGCTTTCGAAAAATTATCTGAAGAACACAAAATGATATTGAACTCTTTGAAAGGAAGAAACAATGAATCAATACTTGAAGAGAACGAGAGATTGAAAGAAGAACTTGAAAACGCTAGAAATGAATCAGTTTCTAATGACAGTTATCTCAAAATAAATGAAGAAGTTGAAAAGAACTTGCAAACTGCTTTAGAGTCTTTGCAAAACGCAAAAGATGAAAACGAGAGATTGACAAAGAAATTGCAAAAGACAGAACGAGAAAACAAGTCTTTGAAACAAATAATAAAGAGCTCAGAAGACTTGAAATCATCTGAATTTGAAGAAGAAATTGATAACTTGAAAACTGAAGTCAAAAAATTGAGGAAAGAAAAGAAGTCATTCACTAATGTTGCATCAAAGATGGAAAAGAAGATTGATAAGCTGACGAAAACAGTCACAGGAGTCGTAGAAATCGTCAACAAATACAGTGATTCTAGTGAAAATCCAACTCAAGAGATCAGAGCATTCCTTGAGGCCAAATAATTTTATATATTTATTTATAGGAATAAATCATGTATGTATTTTTATTTAAAATTTTAGTTTTTTAAAATTCACATGAAAATCATTTTAATAAATTATAATTTTAGCATTTAAATATTAATATGTAATTCAAGGTAATTATTATTTTCATGTTGTTCAATCGTGTTGCACTTTGTGTTCAATATCTGAATACAATAAAGTAAGAGAAAATACTCGATAATGAAAAAATAAATTATTTTCCTAATAGGTATTAATTCAGCTCTTTTTGTATGAATTTAGAATAAAAATATCAAAGAAAGAAAAAATAACCTCAAAATCAATGAAAATAAGGTGTAAATGCAAGCATCAGTACTATTTTTGTAAACCTCTAATGAATCATACCGTTCCGACCAAGCGACTATATATGAAATCAAAGTAAACTCTGCAAAAAGCTCACCGATCCAAAAATTTACCTTTATTATGAGTAGGCTATCTCTTTTCTTACTTTGATTTGGTAATTAAATTTTTTTTGTTTTCTCAAATAAAAAAAGCTCCCTAAAAAAAATGAAATTATCGGCCAACCGAAACAAAGAGATTTTAATGATACGCCAAGCAGTCGCCGAGTTAGTTATTGAGATTCTTAATAACGGGGATGACACACTCGAGACAGTCTCCTCCAAGTTTAATGCAGATTTCGATTTCAATGACCGCATTTCTGCATTAACTGGAATCTCTCTTCTTCTTACAGACGGCTTGTTAAATTACGCGCAGCAAATTGTTGGCGTTTATATATTATTTAATGAAGGAAAATCACAGCCAACAAATCCTTTTGCTTACATTTATCAAACATTACTCATTGTTCACCAATCAAATCCAAATTTCATATCCCCTCAGCTTCATGAAATCCTGTCGTCAGTTTTGAATGGAAATGGATTTGGTCCTGCAGCAAAAGAATCAGCAAATACGATTTTGTCTGCCGGATTCACATTTCCATCTCAAAAGGAGCCAATTCTCGATAAAACGCCATCAGTTACACCCAGAATTTCGCCGGTTATCGTTTCTAATACTCCAGATACAAATTGTCAGCATATAACACATGATCAGGCATTGCTTAAGATCCTTACAAGCGAGATTTTCTGGAGTAACTTTGAAGCACCGTTCATCCGTCCAATTCCTGAAATAGCACCGATTTTTGAAGGAGAATTATCTCCAATTTATTCTTATGCAACACCTGAGTTCTTATTCGATGCTTCGTCAACGACATCTGCGAAATCATCGATCCTCCTCCTGATTGCAAAAGCTGCAGACACAAAATTAAAGCCAAACGAATCAAACGTTTTAATTTCAGAATTCAAGAGAGATTCTTCAATATACGATGAATCAAAATTCCCTCTAAACAGATTTGCTTCACTCATCGAGAACAATCCGGACGTTGCAAAAGAAATCGTCGTTACTTTGGGAAATCGGAAACCTTCTATTCTCAAAAACTTACAATCTTTAGATGTCACAGTCAACTCAATCGAAGTTGTTCGACATTTCGTCCTCAGTGGCTCTCCACCTGCAGATTTCCTCCAAGGATACGCAAAGAACTCGATAAAACTGATCCAGAGTCTGAAAGATGGTCAGTCTGCACTCAGAAAGACAAGGATATTTACAAAAGTAATGTCTATTTTTAAGACGTCGAATTACCCTTTCACTCCTGAACTCGTGTCCGATCTGAAGGCATTCTGCACCGAATTGGCCTCTAAGAGCATCAAAGAGGCTCAAGATTTGTTGAATATGTTATAATTTTATTTTTTCTCTTTTTTTATTGTAAATTTCGTTATTTTTTATTTACAAAACAAATTATTTTATATTTATATCATAAAATTTTCTTTATTACACCATATTGACAAAAATTAAAAGATTTAAAAGTGTACTTACGGCCATCTGACTTTAATTCAAATTTTTGACAACTGGCGTGAAGGGTCATTAAAAATTAACCTTATGTAATAAACAGAAATTCATCAAAAGTGACAGCTCTCAATTTTTTGACATTTGTAAATTCTAAATTGAACGAGAAAAATGAAATAATACTAAGCATAATATTCATATCTAGATTTAATTATAATTAGGAAAAAGTTAGTTTTGAGAGTACTTTTCATAGGCATATAGAATGAAATCTTCTGAAAATAATATCACATAAACTCATATTATTTTCTAATATATAACTATTTTATATAAAAATCAAATTCAATGATCTTAAAAGCGAATGATAAACCTCAAAATTTACGAATATAATGAGTGGGAATATAATGCTTATCTATCATAAAACCATATGAAATATCAATTTTATTTTTCATATTCAAATGGACTGAGTGTTAACATTTAACATTTTTTGCTAATTGTCGTCAAAAATTAGGCGTAAAGCAAAAATTGATATTTCATATGGTTTTATGATAGATAAGCATTATATTCCCACTCATTATATTCGTAAATTTTGAGGTTTATCATTCGCTTTTAAGATCATTGAATTTGATTTTTATATAAAATAGTTATATATTAGAAAATAATATGAGTTTATGTGATATTATTTTTCAGAAGATTTTGTGTTCTTCTTCAAAATTTTATTTTTTTATTAAAAAGAATCTTTACAAAATATACATTTACTTTAATTAATATTTAAAAACGTGCTCTATCAAAAATTCCAAAAATTCAATATTTTAGCTTTTCTGAGGTGTCACTTTTGATGAATTTCTGTTTACAACACTTAAACGTCAAAATCGAAGGCCATGTCATAGGGGCGTAAGTGCACCTTTAAAAAGGAAAAAATCCAATTCTTTTGCATTCAAAATTGGCAGGCCCTTTTTTGCACTTTTAAGGTTATATGGGTATGGCGATGATTTTATTCTTAAGGATACCCTTACGTGTCAGATTTTTTGCGCATACGAAGAAGTCATGCTAGACATGAGCTATAAACCTGAAATTTTAGCAACATATTTAAAACTTTTTAAACTACAATACACTTTAATATTCAAGAACAAAAATATTCTTTTTAGAAATTACATAATTATTTTATGTGAAATCTATATAAAAACATATTTTGCGAGCGTAACTTTTTTCTTTATAAGCACCTTATATGACTGATAAACTGTGAAGGCACATAATTGTTAATTCATAGAGTTGATATGTTTCCAAAATTGAGAGGAAATTTGAAAATTGAATACCCTTTCAATTCAATTTTCAAAAGATATCAGCTCCTTCAATAATTGAAGGACGATTTTGATCATTTGCTCTTAAAACAAGTATGCCATGGAGAAAAAAGTTACGCTCGCAAATCTGAAATATAACTATCATATAAAAAAATTAAATTTCTAATTTTTTACTCTATAGATATTATTGGCCATTTGTGTAATGCATAAAAGTTTATGTCATATGCATACATTTGGAAGTATGGGAGACGAGGGAAATTACTTCTATGAGGGACTAGGATTTTTAAAAATTTCTCTATCGGACTCACCATTCAATTTCTCGAAAATTAAAAAAAATCAATAATAGCTAAAATGTATTATGCATAACAAATTTTAATGTTACACGGTATTTTTTGAACTTCATGACATGAATTTTCTTTATATTATTTTTTTTTTTGGATTTTCTATGATTTATGCGATAGACTGGAACAACATTGTAAGTGTAATGATATCATTTATAGAGAAATCTAAAACTTCAGCATTCAGAACTCGCAACCACAAAAATATTCATTTGCTAAGTAAGTAAAGTTGATTAAGTTCGACACTTAGCTTTTATACGTAAAACCAAGTGTGTATTGTTATTTCTTGTTAAATTATTGAGAAAAAAATAAATTGTAGAGAAACGATACTGATTATTGAAATAATATTGAGGGTAGCTGCAGATTTCTTCATTAACATGCCAGAAATTTGTTAATCTTGGTTTTCTATCATAAAATCTGTCGAAGAATCTAAAAACGGAGATATGAAATAGAGATCATGTAAATCTAGAGTATCCTGTCAGAAAAATAGACTAAGCATGTAACCCTTTTTTGGTCATAAACACTTTTTACCACTTAGTCATACAGATGATCATTAAATTTAAACGAGCACTTTTTGTCAGAATTTATTCTTTTACAAAGACAGAAGATTTTAGTATTATTTAATATTAGTGCTGTAGCAAAATTCAAAAAACGGTGAAAATTCAGTGAATTTGTGAATTCACATTTTTTTTCGACATTTTTCTTGATATATCCATGCACATTAAGAACACAGCTTTGATACGCTTAAAAAAGCATATTTCATATGAAATTGTTAAAGAAATAAACAATTTATATAAAAATTGCACTTATGGGCAGTTTAGATATATAATTTATATATAACATATATACAAATCCATAGACAAAGTGCAATAACTACAATGTTGTAGAAAATTACAGCAGAAATACTGACTTTTTGAAGGATAATAAGAATTCTTCTAAATGTTGTATTTTTATAATTTGATTGATTTTTTTACTATTTCATTAATCTTTTATGAATAATAATTATTTTTAATATATGTGCTATTAAAATTTCAAATTTTGACTAATATATCTAAGTTATCTGAACGAAACATTTAGAAAATATCATACTTACATTGAAATAGCAAGTAGAGCATATTAATAGCAAGTTTCTTGGCTTTATATCTATCATCTATTGTTGTTTGATCAAACAAAATTCACTCTATTATATGGTGTCAATTAATTAAAACAATTTTTAATAGTTATTTATTTAGTGCGAATAAGTGCAAACTCATAAATGAATAACTTAATAGTAGAAATGAATTATCTGATATAAATCTCACATTTTGTCCATCAGAAATACTTTAATTGCATACGCATAACTATTAGTAATACGTCTGGAGTGTCAATTAATAACAATCCCACAACAAGTAAAATTCAGATTTTTATTAAACTTATTTTTTCCTAAAAGTTTTCTCAAATTACTATATATACATATGTGGATAAAATAATAGTAATATTGTAAAAAATTAGATAATTTTTTTTATTTGAGAACCTCTCAAAAGTTCATTCAATTTATCAATTGTTTCAGTTTGATGTATATTCATTTCTGGAGCCTAAAACTTTAACAATCATGACAATATCATATTCTCTTTCTAACTACGCAATGTAAGGGTATCCTTAATAAAACAAAATAAAGCAAAATAAAGTAAAATTAATAAAATAATTAAGATATTTTGAGGATATGGTCCATGTTTGTATTGAAAACAGAGTATTCTTTCGTTGGTAAAAAGGAAAGAAAAGCGTAGGTCAGGCTGTGGACTAATTTTTGACAAAATTAGAATCGCATTTTGAGCTAAGTTTGAGTTGAAACGTTGGAAAACAAGGAGCATTATGGCGAAATGAAGATGAGTTAATAACTCATTGAACTTTTTTGAAATCTTCTTTGATAAAATATGACTAAATGAAGCTCATATATGATTTTTCGCCAATTCAATTTTTAGTCACTTTTTTCGTTTTCTAAAAGAACCTTAAAATTGCAAAAAAAGGGCCTGTCAATTTTGAAGGCATAAAGAATTCTACCTTTTTTGCACTTTTTGAGCTTCGCTTAAAAAGTGCAAAAAAGGTGCAAACTTTCTGACATCTCACAATTTTTTGATCATCTTTTTTTACTTTTTTTTAATTTTTTTTTACTCTTTATATCCCAATTTCTAAGTTGAAGATTTAATATTTTTGGTCAGTAAAATGTTATTATAATACATTATATATTTCCTATTATGGATGTTATACTTTTTTGTTATTAAAATAAGCCATATTATGATGTAATTAGTGATGTCAGAAAGTGGAAATTGCATTCTTAATCCTAATTTCTCTTTGTGATTCAATGCTGACAAAAATGAGAAGGCTTATGTTGGAATCGCTGTTTGGCAAACTTATTTCTTTTTGATACCCTTGTTTTCCAGGAATTTACAAAAAGTGCATGACCCACTAGAAACGATATGAAAAGCAGACTTTTTTTTCGTACACCCTCTCAATTTTTTTTCAGTTTTCGTACTCATATGGTATTATTAGTTTATAATAATCATAGAGCTTTCGCTATACTGCAGCATTAAAATAGAGCTGCATTGTGATTATCACCTTGAATTTGAGAGGATTCGAAGTTTAATGTCAAGATAATCTCATATGAATTTAGCATGGAAGCAATATATTTACTATCGTATGATTGCTCATGATAGATCTATGCTTGTTTTACATTAATTTACGAAATCTAATCAAAATACCATATCACAGGAAGTTGAATAATAATAACTTTTTAAAAATTGTGTTTTTATATGGTTACAATTGGTGATCTTTATAATTATGAATGGGGCTCTATGTTTGCTCAGAAATATGAAATATAATGAAGATTGAAGTTTGAATATAATTATATGAGTGTAAATAAGTTAATAAAAGCATTTGTTGCATACTATATCTCTATGTTCCTGCAAGTACGTACTCAGATCGGGAGAATCTCTCACTTTTGTTCCGTAATGTGACATTGGGAACAAAGTTTCCGATCTGAGTACATATTTGCAGGGTCTTGCAATGGTACCCTGCAAGTACGTACTCAGATCGGGAGAATCTCTCACTTTTGTTCCGCAATATGACATTAGATATTTGATTCCCGAAAGGAGTTTACAATTGCAATATACTGTCATATTATATTGCAATTATAAACCCCTTTGGAAGAAAGCTAATTTTTAGCAAAAAACGATTGACTTTAATAATTATTTTATTATAAATCGACCTATTACAATATACTGATGCAATACGTCAATTTATTTCACATCTAAATCCAAAAAACGACATAAATTGATTAGCAGAACTAATTGATTTCACATCTAAATTGTTTGCAATACAATTGATTATTTCAAACAAAGACAACTATTGTCTATAATTAGCTGTCTTTGATTCAACTTTTTTCAAAATCTTTTTTGATTCTAAAAAATGTTTTATTATGAACAACAATCACATGTTATTGTTTGCAATACAATTGATTATTTCAAACAAAGACAACTATTGTCTATAATTAGCTGTCTTTGATTCAACTTTTTCAAAATCTTTTTTGATTCTAAAAAATGTTTTATTATGAACAACAATCACATGTTATTGTTTGCAATACAATTGATTATTTCAAACAAAGACAACTATTGTCTATAATTAGCTGTCTTTGATTCAACTTTTTTCAAAATCTTATTTGATTCTAAAAAATGTTTTATTATGAACAACAATCACATGTTATTGTTTGCAATACAATTGATTATTTCAAACAAAGACAACTATTGTCTATAATTAGCTGTCTTTGATTCAACTTTTTTCAAAATCTTTTTTGATTCTAAAAAATGTTTTATTATGAACAACAATCACATGTTATTGTTTGCAATACAATTGATTATTTCAAACAAAGACAACTATTGTCTATAATTAGCTGTCTTTGATTCAACTTTTTTCAAAATCTTTTTTGATTCTAAAAAATGTTTTATTATGAACAACAATCACATGTTATTGTTTGCAATACAATTAATGAAACAAATTAGATGAAGACATTTAGTTTGGTAATAAACTTTATTATATTTTGTTTTTAATTTTTCAAATGGAATAGATATATAATCAATCACATCTTTTGTTATTTCATTTGAAATATCAAATGATTTATCAAAATGAACATAAACTGACTTTTCTCCAAAAAATGATTTACATGATTCTGATAAAGTTGTTTCGTTAGTAATATATAAATGACTTCCTTTTGGAATTTGAGTATAATCAAAAATATCATAATTGTCTGGAAATATTTCATAAGAAATAGTAATATTAAAATTGCCTAAAATATAAATATTCAGTGGATTTTGGATTCCAGAAAATATATTTCTGTCAAATAACATCGTATTTGTATTGTTTTGGAATGTAATATTTTTCAGATTTATACAATTTACAAATGCATATGATCCAATATAATTTATTTTAGATGGAATTGTAATATTTGTTAATTCACAATCAGAAAATGCAGATGATCCAATTGATTCTACACTTTCTGGAATGTTAATATTTGTTAATGATTCACAACCAAAAAATGCATCATGTTCAATAGATGTTATATTTCCTGTGATGATAATATTTGTTAGATTTTTGCAATTATAAAATGTATTATATGAAATTATTGTAACTTTTGGTGGAATTGTAATATTTGTTAATTCACAATCAGAAAATGCAAATGATTCAATTGATTCTACACTTTCTGGAATGTTAATATTTGTTAATGATGAGCAATCAGAAAATGCATTAGATTCAATAGATGTTATATTTCCTGTGATGATAATATTTGTTAGATATTTGCAATTTGAAAATGTATTACATGAAATTATTGTAACTTTTGGTGGAATTGTAATATTTGTTAATTCACAATCAGAAAATGCAAATGATCCAATTGATTCTACACTTTCTGGAATGTTAATATTTGTTAATGATGAGCAACCATAAAATGCATATTCCCCAATAGATGTTATGTCATTATTAGTTTGAATAAATGAAATATTGACACAATTATAAAAGCAATAATCAGAAATTTTTGTTACATAACTAGGAATAATATATTCACCTGAATATGAAACAACAACTGTAAATAATGTTGTGTTATCTGTTCCTATATAAATTGATTTAGAATCACTTTTATAGTTTATATTTTCTGGATCAACTGTTATATTTTCTAATGGACATTCATAAATTGCATTTGAAGGAAATGAATTTAGATATTTTGGGATAAACAACGACGATAGTTTTGCTTCATTAAAGCAATATGATGATATTGTTTCTAATTTAGAATTAGGTGAAATATTTATAGTTGTTAAACCACTATCATCAAAAGCACTAGAACCAAGAGTAACTACAGAATCTGGTAAATCTATTGATGCTAGATTTTTATTGTCATTAAAGCACGAATCTCCTATACTTGAAATATTTGGAGGAAGTATAACTGATTTCAAGTATTTACAGTAAGAAAAGACATATGAATTAAGTAATGTAAGTTTTTTGCATTCACTGAGATTTGCTGATTCAAGATTTGTATCATAAAAATTCCTGCTGCTAATACTGGTGATTTCACTATTTTCTTCAAATTTAAGTGATGTAATCGAATCTTTACAGTTTTGAAATGCAGATTTAAATAGAGAATCGCTATATATTTCAGTAACATTTTGAGGAATAAGAATTTCACCACTAAAGTCTGCCGAACAACCAACAACAACTGTATTAGATTCATCTCTATAAATAAGATGTCCAATGCTAAGGCATTGATAAACAAGAAAGCACAGCACGGTTAAATATTATTAATTTCAAAAATATATTTTAATTAATTTAATAGTGTAATATTATCTTGTTTCATTGTAATTGATAATATCTAATAAAGATAAAATTACGTCAGAAACATGTAAAATAAATGAATAATCTATTTTCTGAAAGAAATTATTTGAAGATTTTGACAATAATTAAAGATTATAAGATAATTGAAGAGTTTAAATTGATACAATGTAATGTAACTTGTAATTTTAATTTAATAAAATTAAGAAGCTCTGCATAAAGTTGAAAAAAAATTAAAATCCTAAAGATTTATGGCGATATCGAAATATCAACATCAATGATGTATTTAGAAATGTTTGTATATCATAGCAAACATCTCCGTAAGTCGCAGACTTTGAAATCCATCATAAATTTTGTTTCATTGTCTTTGAAAAATTGAAAGGATCCAAATAGAGGTATGCTGACTGGAATAAGGTTAATTTTTCTCTTAACATCATTTTTAATCGCCACGTCTAGACCCAAGCATAGCATTATTTTAGAAACAAGTAAAGTCATTCGAAAAAGCACTTCAGATATTATGTTTTCGATAGTAACATAATAGATGTTTTCGCTTTTATACAAAAGATTTATCAAAATTATTATCATATATGTTATTATTCGTTCATCTTTACGGAAACGCCATAGCATTAAGAAACTCGCATGAAAGATTACTCAAACGTATATGTTAAAATCCTAAATTATTAACTTTTTTTTGTAAATGTGGTTTTCCTTGTAATAGCTATAAAACATATAGATTCATTGTAAGTATCACCTTTAGAATAGATTTATTTAAAAACTATCAGCCAAAAAAAGTTACCCGTATATTCAATTACTGATTTATTCAAAATAGCAAAATTAATAATGCGATAATGGTTTATAGCATTATGGTATGAATAATGTTTAACTATTTAGTATGTCTTATAAAATTATTATTTTTGTTTTTTTTTTTGTTTTGTTTTGTTTTATTATTATTATTAGGAATAATTTATCTTAATACTAGTAAATAGTTCACACATTTATGTAATTTAGATATTTTTGCTCAGAAAGCCTAATTGATTGGTATTAACTCATCATTTAATCGTTCATTGAGAAAGTATTATTAAAACATGCAAGATATGTGAAATTATTATAAACTTCGGATTACAATCTGAATGATTTAATTTCAATAATACTTCATGATGATTAATATAATATTTTTATTCATTATTGTAATATATGAAATTTAAGCATTAATATTATTTTAGAACTTAAAATAATTAGTTTTTGTCAATTCATAATTCGAATAAATCAGCTAAATATGTAAAAAATTTAAAAAATTCAAAAATGGCAAAAATAATCTGAGCATAAAGTGTATCTATTTTCATCAAAATTGGCAGATAGTTTTTCTTGCATGATCATACAAACATTGCTCACAAGCATGCATAGAAGCTATATTCAAAATTTGGGAGCATTTGGCCTGTATCAATGGTAGTCAGCATACCTCTATCCAAATGAAAGTTGAAGAAAATTATTATAATTATTGATAAAGAAGAAATTCAATTTTTCGAAATAAAATAATGTAAGAATAATTTGGTTTACCATTGATGTAAGAACAAAATTAAATTGTAAGCGTCCCGTAACTTCGTGCGATAAGAATCTATCAATCCAAACACATTTTCAATGTTTTTAGTGTATGTGACAGAGATAAAAACAGGGAAAATATTATATTTAAATATAGTTCGAAAAGAGTTACGATTTTATAGATGAGATATCATTTTCTAATTATAATGGAAAATAAACGCTTATGCGAATCTAATTTATAAATAGAAACTTTATCTTTATGAATTCAGAAAATAAATAAAAATAATAAAACTTATTCAGGAATCTGAAGTTTCTCTACAATATACATGAAAGAAGGAGGTGCATCTGACTTTTTATCACCTGTAATGTTCTTTAAGATTGCCCAGCAGTTGCCTGCACTGTGGATTCGATCTTGTTCATTACGTAACTCGCTCTGGACCATCTTAAGACCCGTTGTATAATTCTCAAGTGCTAAACCGGTCAAATGACTTGAAATGATAATTCGTGACCATCGAGTTGCTGAATCTAATGCTGTAAGTGATGCTTCAAAGTCTTTCCATTGACGCCTGCTTCGAATAATAACGGACAAGAACTGAAGAAGTGAATCGGCTTCTTGAGCAGTCAATGATGTGATAGCACCTTGAAGAACGGAATCATTATGTGGTTGTGTGATCAAATGTGTCAAGACAACTTCGTTCTCTTTGAGTGTACTCATTAATAAACGGATCAAATGAACAACTTGTTCTGAATTAAGTGGTTCAACTTTCTTAAGCATCATAGATGCTGTGTCAAATGACTTGTTCTCGATAGCTCGAACAACGGATGAATATGGAATTGTTGTTAATAACTGGAATTTCGCCAATTCACGAAGATCTGTTTCTTCTTCTTTTTCCGCCAATTCAAGTGCTGTTTGTCTAGCATCTGATGAAACAAATTTGTCTTCCATGACACTCTCGACTGCGTGACGTAATGATTTGATGTTGAAAACTGCTGTTTCTTGTGAAACTGGTGCTGTCGTAGGGTGTTTCATGTCGTCATCGTATTGGATCTGAAGGACAAGTTCTTCTCTCGGTTTCTGTTTAGAACAAGAGCCAATTAAGGAAAGTGATGTTGTTGGTTTCACACCACGCCAATCACGGATATGAACAACACGGTCTTGAGTAATAACGATTTTGTTAGAAAATAAACAAATGTGTTGTGATGGATTTTCGATTTTTTGTAATTCAGCATCGAATTTGAGGTCATAGATATGAACTGAGTCTTGACAACTGCACGCTAAGTGACTTTGCATAAGTTTATACTCTTGTGCTGCAATAACTTTGCCATCTGAAATTGCATCTGATTCTCCTTCTGTATAACGAGTCCAATAACCATCGGACCAGATAATAACAACTCCGAACTCACTGGACACGGCCGTATATATATTAGAACTTCTGTTTGGAAGCATAATTTCGCCTGATTTTGCAAATGTTTGAGCATCTAATATTTGTATGTATGGTTTGGGGGCATCAATGACAATGTAAGCTTTCCTATGATAGAATAATACTGAAATTATAGATTCATTTTCACTTAATGGTCCAAATGAAATTGGATTTGCGTTTTCATCTGCTCTAGCAATACGAATTTCTTTATTTTCGAGTACAGCAACTACGGAGACGCGATCTGAATGTGGATAAACGTTTTTAATTTGATAATCAAAATCTATTTGTTTGAATTGCGCATTTTGAACTGGTTTAATGCATTGAATTGATTTGCCTGTTTGTAACCATATGAAATCTCCATCTTTGGAGAAAACTGGTGGTCCTGTTGGAACTAATTGCGAAGGTAAAGGAATTTGAAGCTTAATATCATAAGTATTTGAAGATGCAACAAAAATCCCATCGTTCTCTGTACCAACAACAAAATTGTCCTTGCAAGGACTAATTCCTATGATTGGTGACTCAAAGCGAAGGGTTTGCATTTATTTTCGACCAAACCTATCAATTTGTGCCTCTAAGATTTTAGATGCATTGAATTAAAAATTGGCATAACAATAAGGTGTAAAGGATGCTTGTTGATTTAAAAATCCAAAAACTTAAAAAATTTTGTAAAAATCGATTCAATATTATCACAAGCCTATGCTGCAGAGCAAAGATACAGAGGATTTTAGTTAAGCTGTACTCCACATAAGTAATCCAGGTTATAAATAGCTTAATATAATATTCATTTCCTAATTCAAATGTTGTATCAATGCTTTTTATATGTGTGTAAGTTGCCATTAATATGGATCCAAGTATAAAAATCTTATTTCATTGAGTTTGTGTTCATTTGATGTGTGCATCACATAGATGTTATCCAAACCATCTCAAATTCATTCTTTTGTTTATATTGAATTGTTGAATTAAAATTTCTAAAATGTTTTAATAAATGAGGTATGTTTAAAAACCCATTTGCTGTACTTTTAGATTCAAGATTTTATCAAATTGGGAAATAAAGATTGCTTTTATGCAGAAAAAATATTATCCATGTTATAGACATCATGAATATTATCACCCGCATATGATAGGAGTTAAAAAAACTATAAAAAATAGCGGTTTTGACAAAATTAGATGGTAAGCAGGGTTTTGAAGCTGGCGCTTGTTGAAGGCGTCGGATTCTTCTTAGCAACTTGTTTAGTAGCAATACTTCAAGCTCTTTCTATCCAAATGAGAATTGTAACATTCATTCTCGGAGGAATTCTTTTAGCAACCGTTGTTGCTCTTCTTTTCAAATCATTTTGGAAGCACACCGAAGGTGATCCTAGATGGTACTTGTTTGTCCCAGCTATTATCAGTTTAGTTGCTGGATTGCTTTATTTCATTGTTTCAAAAGACTTTTACACTGCAGAAAAGAATTTCGAGAAATTCATTGTTTATTCAGTCGAAATGGTTGCTGTTGGCCAACTTTTCGCACTTCTCCTTCCATTCATCACAAAATTCTTAATCGAAGATTCTCTCAAAGCTGCAGGAATTGATTACCCACAAGAAGCCGGTGCTTACATTGGATTTTTCACATTACTTTCAGTCGGTCAAGCCGCTTTCTTTGTTTTCTTCACTAAATTCGATGCAAATATCTGGAATAGCGGATTCCTTCTTTCTATTGCTGCCTGGTTCATTGGTGCCATATTAGGCGCTGTTGTAGGCTACGTGTTCGAGAACAGATCTTCTCCTCTTGCTTCTGCTTATGTTTCAACTTATGATTCAAATACTTATGATGCTTCCAAATAAAATAGTACGTTATAACTATTACTTATTATACAATTTTATTTTACATCTTTAGTAAAAAAAAATAATTTCATATTAAAATTTACCAAAACCAATAAATATGTTTTTATTTAAACCATCTGTGAACATGTTTAAATCCCAAATAATTGTGCTTTAATTTTCGAAATTCAATTTTTTCCAAAATGATGAAACAGAATCTGTGTTTCTAAGATTTTTGGTAGAATTTACACAAAATAAAATGATTTTAAATGAGAAATTTAAAAATAATTTTTATGATTTTTTATTTATATGATAGTTGTTGAATAAGATTAATATATATTGTTGTAAACAGAAATTCATCAAAAGTGACACCTCAGAAAAGCTAAAATATTGAATTTTTGGAACTTTTGATAGAGCACGTTTTTAAATATTAATTAAAGTAAATGTATATTTTGTAAAGATTCTTTTTAATAAAAAAAATAAAATTTTGAAGAAGAACACAAAATCTTCTGAAAAATAATATCACATAAACTCATATTATTTTCTAATATATAACTATTTTATATAAAAATCAAATTCAATGATCTTAAAAGCGAAGGATAAACCTCAAAATTTACGAATATAATGAGTGGGAATATAATGCTTATCTATCATAAAACCATATGAAATATCAATTTTTGCTTTACGCCTAATTTTTGACGACAATTAGCAAAAAATGTTAAATGTTAACACTCAGTCCATTTGAATATGAAAAATAAAATTGACTTTGATTAAATGTTTTTATTTATCATGCAATTCTTCTTGCGACCAAAGATTTGAATAAAACTTCAAAAAATAAGATAGCTTAAAAAATAATATACGGTAGTGTTTACTAATAGATGAATAGTATATAAATTCTATTAAAATGGATTTGATCCAAAAAATATATAAAAATTTGATCATAAATAAAATCGTTTTAAATTACTTCTTCATTTAAATTATAACAATTATTTTTGGTTTTATATTTTTTGGATCAAATCCATTTTAATAGAATTTATATACTATTCATCTATTAGTAAACACTACCGTATATTATTTTTAAGCTATCTTATTTTTGAACTTTTATTCAAATCTTTGGTCGCAAGAAGAATTGCATGATAAATAAAAACATTTAATCAAAGTCAATTTTATTTTTCATATTCAAATGGACTGAGTGTTAACATTTAACATTTTTTGCTAATTGTCGTCAAAAATTAGGCGTAAAGCAAAAATTGATATTTCATATGGTTTTATGATAGATAAGCATTATATTCCCACTCATTATATTCGTAAATTTTGAGGTTTATCCTTCGCTTTTAAGATCATTGAATTTGATTTTTATATAAAATAGTTATATATTAGAAAATAATATGAGTTTATGTGATATTATTTTTCAGAAGATTTCATTCTATATGCCTATGAAAAGTACTCTCAAAACTAACTTTTTCCTAATTATAATTAAATCTAGAATATTGTATTATGCTTAGTATTATTTCATTTTTCTCATTCAATTTAGAATTTACAAATGTCAAAAAATTGAGAGCTGTCACTTTTGATGAATTTCTGTTTATTACAATATAAAAGTTTTTAAAAAATTACATTGATACATGCGCTATAGAATATATATATTATAATGGAAAGTTTAATAAACAGAATCTACTTCTTTTTCTCTTTAACTGCTCTATTACCGTGACTTTCTGTCTTGGAAACATGTTTCTGGCCGTGGGTTGGAATCTGTGGTGTCGGTCTGTGATAAGATGATGGAAGTACAAAAAATTCGTTTGCGTTTTCTATACAAAAATCTAGGAGTCTCTTAATACCTTCTTGCATTTTCTTGGATGTTTCTGATTCGGGGTCTTCATATTTTAGTAATTCTGGCAAATAGTAAATAAATCTGAGAATAAATATTGCTGGAGTATTTGCGAGAATGTCAGATTTTATGGTTTCTGTAACTGTATGTTCCTGATCATATAAAAGGAACAGGATTACATTTTTTTGAAAGATTGAACTTATCATTTCTGTAAACATTCTGTATTGCTCTGTTTTCATAATATCATCGGGATCGTAGCATGATAGTTCAAAACTATTTAGCAATTCGGCCATTGATGTTTCAGGCGTTGGTGGAAATAAATGCTGCGCGCGCGATTCTTGGATTAAAGAATTTTCTTGGACCATTATTTGCGATAGTACTTCGGGCATGGATACCCATTGGTTTGCGTCCATCATGAATTTCCGAGGCCTCGGTTGAGGACCTCGAATAAATTTGATAGACTTCGGAACAAAGACAGGTTTCTTTCTGCTGAGCGTAATTGTATACTCAGCATTCTGTTTTATGCTCCGAGAGCGACTCCTGGAGATCGATTTATGATGCCCCGAAAACTCGCTCATCTCTTGCAAAAACGGTCTAAATTAATTATTTAGTTTCTTATGTAGTTTAATTTGGATTTTGATATATTATCGATTTTCTATTCAAATAATGCTCTAAACTTAGAATTGGAAAAAATTTATTTCAAAACTATAAGATTAATGTGTAAATGAGTTATATATAAGCATAAAATAAATATTTCTGTCTAAATATATCATTTATTTTTCATTTTTTGATTCCAAAATTTTCCAAAATCATTATTTGGATATTTATAATGATGCTTTCTATCATGTTTGCTTGATTTTCAAAATAAACTTTATGACAAAACTATGTGAGAAAGTTTTTTTTTGATAAGACGCATTGTTTTCGGATTAAAAAAACAATACCCATTCTCGTCGAGGAACAAATATGGTTCAAGAAGTGAATTTACAAATAAAAACTACAAACAGTTAATTGATTTTATCAAACATAAATGCCCAATAAGTTTCAAGCTTTGAATTTTAGCCAATCACAAACTCAAACTTAAATCCTCTCTTTGTTAAGTCATAAACTAGTATGCTATTTGTTTTAATTACAATCATTGATCAATAACTCTCAAATTAGCGATTATTCAAAAAAAATATGAAAAATTACTTATTAAAACATTCTCACAAAAGGGTCATTTGATAGAATTTTTCATCAATACCAATATTCTTATAAACAATCAGAATTGACAAATGATTTCAGAATAGCATGCAAAAATTGTACAACTTTTAGTATTTATCATATAGTTATATTATATAAATTTGTTTCATTTTCTACTCCGTCAAAGTTCTAGTATTGTCACTCTACTATACCAAGAAAAATCTTATAATCGAGTTGTTGTTAATTGTACAGCAGATTCTAGTGGTGAAGTTTTTATTCCTAATGATGTTACTGAAATTAGTAGCCAATGATTATCCAACTTTGCATTCAAGAATTGTAAAGATGCAATTACGACACTTCAATTCGGAGAAAATAGCCAAATTACCTTTATTGGGCAATTTAGTTTTACTCGCACAAGTCTTGAATTAGCAAATTTCAGTGGATGCAAAAAACTTCCATACCTCAATAATGATATATTTTATGAATGTAAATACTTGAAATCAGTTATACTTCCTCCGAATATTGATCAGATCGGATTTAGTTGCTTTCAATCCAATGAAAATCTAACGTCAATAGATTTACCAGATTCTGTAGTTACTCTCGAAAATTATGTATTTGAATATAGTGGTTTAACAACCATAAATATTTCACCTAATTCTAAATTAGAAAAAATTGAAAGCAGATGTTTTTTTAGATCAAAAATATCTTCAATTTTTATTCCAAAATCTCTTAAAACGATTGAATCAGACGTTTTTTACGATTGTCCATTAGAAAATATAACAGTTGATTCAGAAAATACAAACTATAAAAGCGATTCTATATCAGTTTATACAGGAATATATAATACAACATTATTTAGAGTTGTTGTTTCATATTCAGGTGAATATACTGTTGCTAGTTATGTTAGAACGATTTCTAGAATTTGCTTTCAAAAATGTGTAAATATTTCATCAATTCAACTTCATGATGATTTCATATCCATAGGTGAGTATGCATTTGATAAATGTGAAATTTTGAAAAGTATTTTAATTAAAGGGAAGTTTACTAAGATAACTATGTCGGCATTTCAATATTGTAAATCATTAACAAATATAGGGTGTCTAAAGGTGCGTTTAGCACAGCGCTCTATATGAGACTATTAAAGGAGATATATGCTGATTATAAATATATAATAAAAAATATGAATATATGTATATGATGAGTATGTTGTATTTTGGCGCCATGCCGGGATATAAAATGAATTTTGAGACAAGAGGCGGTTTCGCGGGAAATTTTGGCGGGATTTTTTTCATTTTTTTAATGAATCATAAAGAAAACATCCTCGCTCTTGCAAAAAAATGCAAAGACTGTAAAAAGATCTACGAGACATTGGTAAAATGCTTCGGTATGGATGCTCCTAGCTATTCCACTGTAACGTATCATGTTAGGATGTATCACTTCATGAACAAAAAGGCGCCCATCATAAAAATTGACAAAAAATCGCCGGATCAAAGAAAAATCAAAGCAATTCTTCAAGCGCTAGATGAAGACCCAAGAGCATCACTCAGAAGGATAGAGGAGATGACAAAGATACCACGTACAACAGTCAGTTATTATCTGCACAATTATTTAAACTACAAACTAGCGTATACACGTTGGGTTCCGCACAACCTTAATTCAGTTCAAAAAAAATCTAGAGTCCAATCTTCGAAAGAGCTCCTCTCTATATTGGGTGCGTATCAATCCAAGAAGTTTCGCTTTTTAGTAACAGGGGACGAGTCTTGGTTTCAATATGCAACAGAAGCCAAAATCATGTGGATCCCGAAGGATGAAAATCCGCAAACATTCCCGAAGAAAAAAATTAACACACCAATGATGATGTTGTCGGTTTTTTGGGGCGTGAATGGCATCATCGCAATTGATATTCTTCAAAAACCTAATACGATGAATGCTCAGTATCTAATTGACAATGTTCTTACTCAAATTATCAATTCTGATGAGTTTGAGAAATCCAAAAAACAAAACAAAAGTTTGCAATTCATTTTGATAATTCAAGAGTTCACAAAAGTCATAAGGTAATGAATTACTTGTTGGAAAACAATGTCAAAGTTGTTCCAAACCCAATTTATTCACCTGATATTGCACCCTCTGACTTTTATTTATTCGGCACGCTAAAAAAGAGAGCTGAAGGACGCGAATTCGCGAGTCCAGATGATCTTGAAAATTTTGTAAGAGAGCAATTTGAGCAATTTTCTCATGATGATTTAAAGCGTGTCTTTCAAGCCTGGATCGATCGCTGCGAACGCGTGATTGAATCCAATGCTGATTATATTTAAATAAACTTTATATATATGTAACTTGTTTATTTCTATTCGCAGTATTCAGGTTTGTGCTAAACACACCTTTGGACACCCTATATTATAATTCCAGAAACAATAACAGATATTGAAGGCTATTCATTTTATTATTGCATATCATTAACAAATATTACATTCCCAGAATCACTAGAAAGGATTGGATATAATTCTTTTGAAGCATGCAAATCATTAATACGAATTACAATTCCAGGAAATGTTTCTAATATTGAACAGTATGCATTTAGAAGTTGTACATCATTGACAAGTATAACAATTCCAGGAAGTGTCGTATTCATTCAATATGATGCATTTTGGAGATGCACAAGTCTTAAAACTATTATATTCCTAAACAATTCCAATTCAATCAGAGTTAGTAATGATGCATTTTATCAAATTCCACATCCAATTGATATTTTTATTCTAGGCAATTTTAATCTTAGTTATTCTTATTCATACAAAGCATTTCCAGAAAGAAGTAAACTATTTGTTACAAGTCGAACAACTTTATCAGAAGGTTGTAAATCATATTTTGGTGAAAAGACAATGATAATTTACTTTATAGACTCGGCCAAAACCAGAGATGATAAAACGAATGAAGTTATTGATTTCATTGCCATTGAAAAAATATACTTCAAAACAGAACAAAACTTCATTTATCATCAAATTAAATGCTCATGCTTACTGAGTCTTCTTCCTCGTGCTAAATAACTTTTTTATAAACTGATTTAGTATTTTTTTCCTATGATGTGTTTATCGATATTTAAAGAAATTGAGCAGTAAATGATAAGCGTTCGATTATTCTAATAATTATAAATTGTGGATTTTACATGGTGGGCAATAATTATAAATATAAAAGCGAAAAAATGATGCATTCATTTTTGACTACTTTACGCCGAATGATTTTTAAATGCTCGAATAATGTGCAGATTGAATGTTAAATAATTGTTTTTGCGTATATTTTGCACTTGTAGGAAAACTCTTAATTGTTTGCAAGTTGAATTAGTTCTTTCTTAGATATTTGCATTATGGATCATTGCATGAAATATCAAATAAAAAATAGATGATTAATTTTGAAATTGGTCGATGAGTCACGTTTTGTCATCACAAGATAAAACATATGATATTAATTTATCAATAGGAAGATATGTTTTTGTTTCATCAATATTAAAAAAAATTATGAATCATCCTATAGTTCTATAATAATCAGAGTCGACAAGGCCTTAAGTCAATATATCCTTCAATAAATCATCCTATACTTGGATCATATAATAATTGTAATGAATGCAATATATCGTTTAATAAATAATACCAAATATGTAGTGCACTTTCTAAATTTACGTTTCATTTGAAATAATCTGGATTAAACTTTGAAACAGGAGATCCGATTTCTATTTGAGATACTTCTGGAACATCTGGTAATTTTGTTTCTTCTCCCATTTCTTTCTCATCATATATCTTTAGACTCTGTGGTTTGAAATCTTTATAATGATAATTAATTTCTTCAAAGTTCCCTGGTAACAACACCTTAGCATCATTAGGACGATATTTTAATAGGCATCCTAACATTTCAGTATTTTTATTCATGTTAATGAAATCCAATACGGATTTTCCACTATCATTGACAATCTTTGCATCTGCGCCATTTTTAAGTAAATAACAACAAATATTGGTATCATTTGCATAAGCAGCAACCATTAATGGTGTAGCACCTTTATTAGATTTTGTATTTATATTTGCGCCATATTTTAATAGTTTTTTCATTACTCCAATACTTTTATTTTTGCATGCAATGAAGAAAGCAGATAAGCCATTTTCATCTTTTTCTTCGAGATTTACTTTGTTATTTGCAAGCACTTCAATGCAATTATATGCATTAGAAAGTGCACAAACCATCAAAGGAGTATATTCATTTTCATAAATAACATTAAGTTTTGCGTGATTTTCTATCAATAATTGAAGAATTTCATGCGAATTATAAATACAGCAAACTTGTAAAGGAGTTGCATTATTATCACCTGTAATTTCTAGATCAGCGCCTCTTTCAATAAGTAGTTTTGCCATCTCATAATTCTTTGTTTTAATGCATGCAAAAATTGGAGCTTCTCCGTTTTTGGAAAAATTAACATCAATTTTGATTTTTTCCAAAATTTTCTTTGCCAAAACTGTTTGTTTGAAATAGATTGGTCCATAAATCAAAGAAATGTTCTCTTCTGAAATATATGATACGTGATCAACTAAAAGTGAAACAATTTTCCATTTTCTTGCAGAAATTACAATTTCCAAATCATTTGTTTTAATAATTGCATTCTTTGATAACAATTTCTTAATCAAAGAAGTATTTTCACATATGCTTGATAGTGCTAATGCTGATAAACCTGTTGAATCTCTTTGGTTAACATCAAAATAATCATTATCAATTAAATAATTTATTGAATAGCTTAAATTGTTTATTATTGCATATAAAACACTATCTATATCATTAAGTAACTCTTTTCTGCCATTTTTGACAACTTTGTCTATAACAAATTTAATTTTGTTTTCATCAAGTGTTTGGATTGCTTGAAATAGAATAACCTCTGGAAAATAATCAATTGTTAAATCCTTAAATAAATAAAGAATATTAAAATCTGCCTTATTTATTGCAGTTTGGAAAGGATTTTCTAAATTATTGCAAATTTGATTGTAATCTGCTCCTTTTGATAATAAATATTCAACAACATGATAATTGTTATGAATGATGGCATACAATAAAGGTGAATACTCATTTCTTTCATTTTTAAGATTAATATCAAAATTTTTTTCTTCAATCAAGTACTTAATAATATCTACATTTGATGATTGAGCTGAAGTATGTATTAAAGTTAGTCCATTTTCGTTTTTATAATTGATATCACAACCTAATTCGATTAATAGCTTAAATGTGCTGAATTTAGAATTAATGATTGCTGATTCAATTGGATTATTTCCTTGTGGTGGTGAAAAGTTAATATCTGCCCCTTTCGATACGAAATACTTAATAAAATAATCAAAACCTAATGATGCAGCTGCAGTTAACAAAGTCTGATTTTCTTTATCAACAAAATTAAAGTTTTTGCCCCTTTTTATCTTGTCAAATAAAAGTTTGAAGTTGAATGATTCAAAACAAGTTAGAAACATGGGAGCAAGTCTTCCATATTGAACTAATTAATCTATTGTATGATTTTGATGTAATATACATGCATTTTTAACGCATAATTTTGTTGCTTTTAATATTTTCCCGATAATTTTAATAATTTCCATGTTTCCTGATAAAAATGCAAGAGAAAATGTTATTTCAGTAATTTTTGCACCTTTTGATTTCAGATAATTAAAGCAGTTCACGCTTCCATAGCGTGCGGCCCAATCAATTAAAGTTTCTTCGTCAGCTATTTTCATATTATAGTCGGATTCATTAAATGCAGTGCAATATTCTTGAAGGCGATTGATTTCATCATTCATTATAATATAATTTAAAGAATCTTTTTTAAATAAATTTAAAAGTTGATCAAATTTGAGTTGAGGCAATTCTGGAGCTTCTATCTTATTCAAGGAAACTAATGCGGCATATAATGTTGGTGATAAATCATTCTTCGAAAAATTAAAACTATATTTATCCATAATTCTAGAAAATATCTGTGAAACTACTTCTAAATTTCTATAATCTATGGAAACCATCATTGATAAAATTTGATAAATGTTATTTGGATGTAAGTATCCTTTTTCTATAAGAATATCAATGACACCAATTGTACTACTTATTTCTTTGCCTGTAGTCTTCATTATTTTGTTGACATATTCAATAATTTCAATAATATCGGCTGAAATTTCAAATTGAGCATCCATCTAAAAAAATTATCCAAAATATGTGGCAAAATGTCATTTGACAATTTAAAAAAAATAATTATGCTCTTCCTAACATTGATTTTATACACCGCTCATCGTCAATGCACTCCATACAAGTACCTGAATCGAAAATGGAATCTTGCAGATGGTCGTATTTTAATTGTTTATAACTGGAGGGAGTATTGTCATCATAGGTTCGGAACTGCAGCATACATCTCTGATGGGACAAAAGAATATACTTTTGATAAAACATCAGGTACAATTAAACTTGCTGACGGAAGAACTGCTTATGTTGGTCAAGATGATTATTTAAGAGTCATGAGCGACAAAGTTGAAAAGATTGAAACTATTAAGCTATTTAGTTACAATGATACATGGTGATGAATTTAAAGACACAATAATCAATAAACTGAATTTTTTTTGGCAAAATGTCATTTGACAATTTAAAAAAAATGTTGCTTTTCCTAACATTGATCTTATACTCTCTTCAAGATAGATGCCATACAAGCAGGTATATTAACCGTAAATGGAAACTTGCAGATGGTCGCTCTTTAATTGTTTACGACTGGACCGAGTACTGTCATGTTTACGCGGGTAAGCAAACTTCGGGAACCTCTGCATATATTTCTGATGGAACAAAAGAAGATATATTTGATAAAACATCAGGTACAGTTAAACTTGCTGACGGAAGAACTGCTTATGTTGGTGAAGACAAATATTTAAGAGTCATGAGCGACAACGTTGAAAAGATTGTAACCATTAAGCTATACAGCCACATAGATTTTTGGTAATGAATTTATACTTAAAAAAAATCAATAAACAATTTTTTATTTTATTTTATACTATTCACACAATTTCGGGTCCAAAATTGAATACCTCGTTCACAATTTTTCTGAGGATTTGGACCCGAGATTTTGAAACTACTATATTTTTTTTAAGAAAAAAATAATTTGTGTCTACACGCCATAGTCTTTTTTTATGTTGTCTATGGTTAATTTACGGCAACGCTACAGTCTTAATAATTGTGATCACATAAGACTATCAAATCATTTATGGATGTATATAATTTCATTAGATATTGTCCAACTCAATATTAATTTGCGGTGAAGAGTATCAAGTTTTAAATTTTTTATAGAATTATTTTATTATTTTGAAAAGATATAAAGATAGTTAGAGTTTGATGAAAGGACAACAATACGGCTTCCATCTGGAGACCAATACATATCATCTACTGTGCTAGATTGTGGTCGCTCTACAACTTTTGTAATTTTTCCATCACGATAGAAGAAAAGTTTCTCTGATTGAGTCAGAACTGCGATGGTATCATCTACTGGATTGAGTCTGACGTATTTTACGGGCTCGCAGTCCTTTGTTTCGTAAGATTTCAAAATTTTTGTTTGATCATCGCCTTCTTTCCAAAGTGCTGGTGTAGAAACGATGTTAAAATGTCCGTCAAGAGATCCTGTAGCGAGTAAACCTTGTTTCTGGTGGAAATCAATGGAAACAATCGAATCTGAGTGTCCGGAGATGGTAAAAGCCTTTGTAGCCTTAGATGGAAGGTCATCTTTTCCGAGATTCATGCCGAGAGCGATGATTTCGGATGTGTAAGATGAAACAGCGAAAAATTGGGAATCTGATGAGACAGAAAGCTCGTAGTTATGCATCTGGTGCGTATCGTTACGTATAATGGACCTTCCGTTTGGAAGGAATGCCGAGAGATATGTCTCGTCACCGAATGTTACGACGTATGAGTGATCTTTAGCGACACGGAGTTGGCTGATGATTAGCTTGTTGGCACCTTGTACATTGAATGAGCCTGGTGAGGTCTTTCCTGTGGCGACATCAATGTAATAAGATTGAATTGAGCGACTTCTATCTAATCCACAGACAGCTTCAAGCTTTGAGCCGGAATTGATAAGGTCACATGTAGAGATGGTATCGTCAACGAAGCTTAGTTGGTGTAATGGCTTCTTATCTGTTGTCAGTGACTGGATATCGAATAATAAGTTTTTCCTGTTTGTGCATGTGACTAAGAAGTACTTGCCATCTTCGGAGAATGAGACGCATGTTGGGCATGTGGAGCCGATATAGATAGAATGTTCGGCTGTTTCCATTGGACGTGGAATTGCTTTGACATTTTTGTTCCTTTTCTCTTCGCGTTCTTTCTGTTTCTGAGCTTCCTTGAGTTCTTTCTGACGTTGTTTCTCTTTTTCACGTTCTTCTCTTTGTTTTTGTTTTTCCAACTTTGGATCAACGATTTCTTCTTGTGTAGCTTTTGTTTTATTATTGTTAGCATTCTTTGACTTCAAGAAAAAGAATGCACCAATAGCTGCAGCAAAAGCTAATGTCAAGATAATCAATGCTATATCCATAAAAATTTGAAAAAGTGACATAATTTCATCAACTTTTTTTTGAATTCTCTCTAATAAAAATTTATGGGATTTCGGATTCATCTTCATGTCAGTGTCGTACTGGAATGTTTGCAATGATATGAAAGCATTTCCACAGACTTCGTTGATATAATTATATTGAAATTCCCATAAATCATTATGAATTTTATTTTCTTGGTCCTAAATGTAGAGAATCTTCATTTTTTAAAATCAAAACTACATATTAAGCGGCATTATATCATTGAAAATCATACGATTTCTCTTGTAATCTCTAAGCAATGACAAAATCTTCAAATAATTCCTTTCAAAAAATAAACCATTCTTCGATTTTACAAGTTTTTAATGTGATATCATCGTTGTTTCATGTTAACAAATATAATGAACCAATATGCTTTCACTCTTTAAATATATTTAAAAAAAAAACAATATATTTTTGCAGTTAATACATAATTAATAATATTTAACCGTGTTATGTATCCTTACTTATCAATGCCTTAGCATTGGACATCTTATTTATAGAGATGAGTCTAATACAGTTGTTGTTGGCTGTTCAGCAGACTTTAGTGGTGAAATTCTTATTCCTCAAAATGTTACTAAAATATATAGTGATGATTCAAACAATTATGCATTTAAGAATTGTAAAGATTCAATTAGATCACTTAAATTCGAAGAAAACAGCGAAATTGTCAGTATTGGATACCGTAGTTTTTATGATACAAATCTTGAATCAGCAAATCTCAGTGCATGCAAAAAACTTACATTACTTAATTCAAGTGTCTTTTATTACTGTTATTACTTGAAATCAGTTATACTTCCTCCAAATATTTCAAGTATAGGAAGTAGTTGCTTTTCTGAATGTAAAAATCTAGCATCAATATATTTACCAGATTCTGTAGTTACTCTTGACGTTGCCGTTTTTAAAGAAAGTGGTTTAACAACCATAAATGTTTCATCTGACTCTAAATTAAAAACAATAGGAATTGAATGCTTTTATAAATCAAATTTTACTTCATTTTGTATCTCAAATTTATTAGATTTCACAATCCCAGAAAGTGTAGAGTCTTTTGAAAGCGAAGCATTCGGCTTTTGCCAATCATTAACAGCAATTACAATTCCATCAAAAATAACAAGAATTTTTTGGCAATCATTTTTAATTGCATAAAATTAGAAAGTATAACATTCAAAGGTAATTTAACATATATTGGAAGCGGTTCATTTTATTTTTGTAAATCTTTAACATACATAATAATTCCAGAAAGTGTGGAAGTTATTGAATCTACGGCATTTAGTAGTTGTGAATCATTAACTAATGTTGTAATTCCACCAAAAGTCACAAAAATTTCTGATTCGACGTTTTCTTCTTGCAAAAATTTAACAAATGTTACAATAGCAGGAAATCTGACATATCTTGGAAGTTTTGCATTTTCAAATTGCAAAATATCAAGTATCACAATTACAGGAAATCTAACATCTATTGGAGGAAATGCATTTTATCAATGTCAATAATACTTCATGATGATTAATATAATATTTTTATTCATTATTGTAATATATGAAATTTAAGCATTAATATTATTTTAGAACTTAAAATAATTAGTTTTTGTCAATTCATAATTCGAATAAATCAGCTAAATATGTAAAAAATTTAAAAAATTCAAAAATGGCAAAAATAATCTGAGCATAAAGTGTATCTATTTTCATCAAAATTGGCAGATAGTTTTTCTTGCATGATCATACAAACATTGCTCACAATAGGGTTGTTAAAAATATCAAAAATTAGCGTTTTGAAGACACCATGGTGTCTTATAATTTTCCCTTCCTTATTGGCGTGTAGAAATAAATGCGCCAATAGATTGAAGAAGAAGAATTGTTTTTCTCTTAATGAACTTTAATCCTTTTGATATAAGAATATTAAAAACATTAATATAATTTCGATTTCGGAAATTAAATTTCCAAATTTTTTGTCGATTTCGGAAATAACAGGATCCCGCATCCAACACGCAACAACAAAACACAAAACACACTTTTTGGTTCTTTCATCGTTTTAATCGTAATTTATGTAATACATGATTTGGATAAATTTTACAAAAATAGAACCTATATTATATTCTTTTCAAAGATTCTTGCAAATCATCAAAAATAATTGTATTTTAAAAAAAGATCAAATTATCCTTTCATTATTTTAAACTTAAATTAGTTTTTATGATTGACTAAAGCAATCATATTTATTCATCATTAAATAAACAAACAAATAATATTTGAGAGTTATTTCAAAAAAAAACACATTGAATTTATTAATTGTCTCAATTTCAGTATTATAAATTTTTATAATTTCAATATTTTGAAATACACTTTTTAATATTTCAATATTTATGATATTTCAATGTATTAAGTGGTCTCAAATTGAGCTTCTCAAATATAAGTTGGCCTATTCAAATAATAAAATTAAATAATATTTAAAATAATAAATAAAAGTGATTGAGGTCATAGCAAAACGGCTGTTTCAGTCATTAATTCTTAAAAATAAAAAGGGTAAAAACTAAATACAATGGGTAAAATTCAATAGTGTCTGTGCTATTGTTCAATTTGAAGGTGTCTTTTGAAACCGCAAGACATATTGAATTCTTGAATAGTGTATTATGGTTTGACAGACACCAATCAAAAAAATAAAATGATATTTATTTTAAATATATAAGATCCTTATATAAAATATAAATATTTTATCGTTTTATTTTCTTGTTTTAGAAATGTTTCAAAAGACACCTTCAAATTGAACAATAGCACAGACACTATTGAATTTTACCCATTGTATTTAGTTTTTACCCTTTTTATTTTTAAGAATTAATGACTGAAACAGCCGTTTTGCTATGACCTCAATCACTTTTATTTATTATTTTAAATATTATTTAATTTTATTATTTGAATAGGCCAACTTATATTTGAGAAGCTCAATTTGAGACCACTTAATACATTGAAATATCATAAATATTGAAATATTAAAAAGTGTATTTCAAAATATTGAAATTATAAAAATTTATAATACTGAAATTGAGACAATTAATAAATTCAATGTGTTTTTTTTTGAAATAACTCTCAAATATTATTTGTTTGTTTATTTAATGATGAATAAATATGATTGCTTTAGTCAATCATAAAAACTAATTTAAGTTTAAAATAATGAAAGGATAATTTGATCTTTTTTTAAAATACAATTATTTTTGATGATTTGCAAGAATCTTTGAAAAGAATATAATATAGGTTCTATTTTTGTAAAATTTATCCAAATCATGTATTACATAAATTACGATTAAAACGATGAAAGAACCAAAAAGTGTGTTTTGTGTTTTGTTGTTGCGTGTTGGATGCGGGATCCTGTTATTTCCGAAATCGACAAAAAATTTGGAAATTTAATTTCCGAAATCGAAATTATATTAATGTTTTTAATATTCTTATATCAAAAGGATTAAAGTTCATTAAGAGAAAAACAATTCTTCTTCTTCAATCTATTGGCGCATTTATTTCTACACGCCAATAAGGAAGGGAAAATTATAAGACACCATGGTGTCTTCAAAACGCTAATTTTTGATATTTTTAACAACCCTATTGTGAGCAATGTTTGTATGATCATGCAAGAAAAACTATCTGCCAATTTTGATGAAAATAGATACACTTTATGCTCAGATTATTTTTGCCATTTTTGAATTTTTTAAATTTTTTACATATTTAGCTGATTTATTCGAATTATGAATTGACAAAAACTAATTATTTTAAGTTCTAAAATAATATTAATGCTTAAATTTCATATATTACAATAATGAATAAAAATATTATATTAATCATCATGAAGTATTATTGAAATTAAATCATTCAGATTGTAATCCGAAGTTTATAATAATTTCACATATCTTGCATGTTTTAATAATACTTTCTCAATGAACGATTAAATGATGAGTTAATACCAATCAATTAGGCTTTCTGAGCAAAAATATCTAAATTACATAAATGTGTGAACTATTTACTAGTATTAAGATAAATTATTCCTAATAATAATAATAAAACAAAACAAAACAAAAAAAAATAATAATTTTAGAAGACATACTAAATAGTTAAACATTATTCATACCATAATGCTATAAACCATTATCGCATTATTAATTTTGCTATTTTGAATAAGTCAGTAATTGAATATACGGGTAACTTTTTTTGGCTGATAGTTTTTAAATAAATCTATTCTAAAGGTGATACTTACAATAAATCTATATGTTTTATAGCTATTACAAGGAAAACCACATTTACAAAAAAAAGTTAATAATTTAGGATTTTAACATAATACGTTTGTAATCTTTCATGCGAGTTTCTTAATGCTATGGCGTTTCCGTAAAGATGAACGAATAATAACATATATGATAATAATTTTGATAAATCTTTTGTATAAAAGCGAAAACATCTATTATGTTACTATCGAAAACATAATATCTGAAGTGCTTTTTCGAATGACTTTACTTGTTTCTAAAATAATGCTATGCTTGGGTCTAGACGTGGAAACAATAAATCTTTAGGATTTTAATTTTTTTCAACTTTATGCAGAGCTTCTTAATTTTATTAAATTAAAATTACAAGTTACATTACATTGTATCAATTTAAACTCTTCAATTATCTTATAATCTTTAATTATTGTCAAAATCTTCAAATAATTTCTTTCAGAAAATAGATTATTCATTTATTTTACATGTTTCTGACTTAATTTTATCTTTATTAGATATTATCAATTACAATGAAACAAGATAATATTACACTATTAAATTAATTAAAATATATTTTTGAAATTAATAATATTTAACCGTGCTGTGCTTTCTTGTTTATCAATGCCTTAGTATTGGACATCTTATTTATAGAGATGAATCTAATACAGTTGTTGTTGGTTGTTCGGCAGACTTTAGTGGTGAAATTCTTATTCCTCAAAATGTTACTGAAATATATAGCGATTCTCTATTTAAATCTGCATTTCAAAACTGTAAAGATTCGATTACATCACTTAAATTTGAAGAAAATAGTGAAATCACCAGTATTAGCAGCAGTAGTTTTTATGAAACAAGTCTTGAATCAGCAAATCTCAGTGAATGCAAAAAACTTACATTACTTAATTCATATGTCTTTTCTTACTGTAAATACTTGAAATCAGTTATACTTCCTCCAAATATTTCAAGTATAGGAGATTCGTGCTTTAATGACAATAAAAATCTAGCATCAATAAATTTACCAGATTCTGTAGTTACTCTTGGTTCTCATGCATTTCATGATAGTTGTTTAACAACTATAAATATTTCACATAATTCTAAATTAGAAAATATATCTACATTTTGTTTTTATAAAGCAAAACTATCTTCGTTGTTTATCCCAAAATATCTAAATTCAATTGATTCATATGCAATTATTAATTGTCCATTAGAAAATATAACAGTTCATCCAGATAATACAAATTATAAAATGGATTCTAAATCAATTTATATAGGAACAGATAATTCAACATTATATAGAGTTGTTGTTTCATATTCAGGTGAATATATTATTCCTAGTTATGTAACAAAAATTTCTGAATATTGCTTTTATAATTGTGTCAACATTTCGTTTATTCAAACTAATAATAGCATAACATATATTGGAGAATATGCATTTTCTGGATGTACATCATTAACAAATTTTACAATTCCACCAAGAGTAACAATAATTTCATCTGGAACATTTGAAAATTGCAAAAATCTAACAAATGTCATCATCACAAGAAATATAATAATTATTGAAAATGAAGCATTTTATGGGTGTTTATCATTAACAAATGTTATCATTACAGGAAATATAGGTACTATTGAAGATGGTGCATTTTTTGATTGTGAATCATTAACAAATATTACAATTCCATCAAGAGTAACAAAAATTTCATCTTTTACATTTTATAATTGCAAAAATCTAACAAATGTTATCATCACAGGAAGTTTAACATCTATTGAACATAATGCATTTTCTGGCTGTACATCATTAAGAAATATTATCATTCCAGAAAGTGTAGAATCAATTGAATATAGTGCATTTTCTGGTTGTGAATCATTAAGAAATATTATCATTCCAGAAAGTGTAAAATCAATTGAACAGTATGCATTTTCTGGTTGTGCATCATTAACAAATATTACAATTCCACCAAAAGTAACAGAAATTTCATATGGTACATTTTCAAATTGCAAAAATCTAACAAATATTATCATCACAGGAAATATAACATCTATTGAATATAGTGCATTTTCTGATTGCTCATCATTAACAAATATTATCATTCCAGAAAGTGTAAAATCAATTGAACAGTATGCATTTTCTGATTGTGAATTAACAAATATTACAATTCCACCAAAAGTAACAGAAATTTCATATGGTACATTTTCAAATTGCAAAAATCTAACAAATATTATCATTCCAGAAAGTGTAGAATCAATTAGGTGGTATGCATTTTCTGGCTGTACATCATTAACAAATATTACAATACCTGCTAAATTAATAAATATTTTAACTTCTAGATTTTCCAATTTAAAATATATAACAATCACCGGAAATTTTGAATCTATTGAAAATGGAACATTTTCTGGCTGGAATTCATTAATTCTAGTTAAAATCACTGGAAGTGTCTTATTAATTAAAGAAAAGGCATTTTATGATTGTAAATCATTAAAAGAGTTTGCCATTCCAAATTGTGTAGAAATTCTTGAATCTAGTTCATTTGAAAATTGTGCATCATTAACAAGTATTACAATTCCCCCAAAAGTAACAAAAATTTCTTCATCCACTTTTTCAAATTGCAAAAACTTAGAAAATGTTATCATCACAGGAAACTTAACATCTATTGGATATAATGCATTTTCTGGCTGTATATCATTAACAAATATTATCCTTCCGGAAAGTATAGAATCAATTGAATCCATTGCATTTTATGATTGTATATCATTAACAAATATTACTATTCCGTCTAAAATAAAACATATTGGATCTTATGCATTTCAAAACTGTATAAATCTGAAAAATATTACATTCTTAAACAATACTAATTCAATAAGATTTGGTCAAAATATATTTTATGGAATCGAAAATCAAATGAATATATTTATTACAGGTAATTTTAATATTTCTTCGGACTCTGATGAAATTATTCCAAAAAGAAGTCATTTATTTATTACAAATGGAACAACTTTATCAGAATCGTGTAAATCAGTATTTGGAAAAAAGTCAGTTTATGTTCATTATGATAATGCATTTGATATTTCAGATCAAATGACTAAAGATGTCATTAAATATATATCTATTCCACTTGAAATTCAAAGATCTAAAGATGATCTTGTGTACTTTCAAACTAAGTGTATTCATTTAGTTAGTCTAATTCATAGCATTAAAAGTTAAGCAATCTTTTGGTATTCTTATTAATTTTTGTTTCGAAATAAAAATTTTCAAACAAATTTGGATGATTTTCATTGTTGAATGAAGAATTTTGACGCTTGATAAGTAATTAAATTAAACTTCTTTATTTAATATATACAAACAAAAATAAAATATGAATATTATGTTGGATTAAGATCTTGAAGATGATTGTCATCAAGATATTGATCATTATAATCTGTGTTTGATTCTTGGTATTCGTCGTTTTCTTCAACACCAAGTGTGTTTTCTCCAATGTGATTCAAGATGCTTTCGATGTTTGATGGTTTGATGCAGCCGTAAATGATATTAGAAAAGTAAATTGCACCGAGAATCGAACTGAGTGGTAAACAGATGAAAACATATACAATGATGATCCTTTGATATGAATATCCTTCATGAATAGTACTGTTACTAAATAAATTGTATTTATTTCCACTTCGCCATTCGAAAACGAGATTCAGTTCTGGAAAACTTTCTTTGTCATTATCTCGAATGATGTCTAAATCAATTGATGAATCATCGCCACCGCCAATGATCTTGATTCGTGATTCTTGTTGTTTCTTCTTCTCTTCTTCGTTGTTCTGATTATTGTTATAAACTTTCTTGGTGGTTTCTGTTTCATTAATTGAACTCGTGTTCTTAACAGCGTATTTCATCATAAATGTTTTGTTGACATTGTTTAAGTGCTTGTAGAATGAGTTGATGGCAATTTCGGTTTCGATGTCCCTTATATTAGTTCGTAAGAACTTCAAGTCATTAATAGAAAATGAAAATGTTTCAACTGAATTCGTTGAATTAAAAATCAAAAATTCAATACATGAGTTTCGACCTTGAAGTTTGATTCGAATTGCACCATTTGTTAACAATCCATAATGGTATCCATAAACATCATTTTCTGGTGTTTGAACTTCGATTGGAACCATTCTTTGTTTATCGTTTTCTTTGAAATAGAAAACATTGTATCTCTTTTTATTAGTAAACAAAATTGTTGTTCCTTGTGATAAATAAATGTCTCTGTAATTGAACTCTGTTTTAGGGAAACATACACTGCCTCGGTAAAATGTGTGGTTGTTAGAAAGATCTTTAACATGGTTCCTTTTGTTGGACTCGATTTCTAATGAAATGTTTTTCAATGTGATGTTGTTTTCAACTTCAAAATTTCGTTTAGAAACCAAATTCGGTTTCTTGATGAAGAAATAATCATCATTTGAATTGTCATGTAATGTGTACATTTGGAACTTTTTGTTACCAAACGAAGTGACATACAATATACCAGAGTTGTTACCGAAGAAAACACCAAGATGCTCTTTAGAATTGATAGAACCAAAATAGTTGATTTTGTTCTCGTTTCGTGTGAAACATCGAATTGTAAATGTGTATAAATCTGGAATGATAACAACAGTGTGTGGTTTGTCAAGAAATATCTCATGAGGAATAGAACTTTTACTCTCGAAACTGATAGATTGTGGATCTTCTGTTTGAAGTGATGATGTGAATACGATGTTCTTCTCTTGGATTCGTGGCATCTCTGGATTAATATTCGCTAAATGTTCTGTAACAAAACTAACAATATCTGGATTGTTTATGATTTGTAAATTAGTGATTTTGTCTGGGAAAACAATAGATGTTTTCTTGATATTTTCATATGAGAAACTGAATCGATGTTCCCTATCAAGTGATGTCTTTGTGATCTTGAATTCAGTTTGGAATTCTTCGTTTTTCACAAATGAATAAACTTCTAAAAATGGTAATGCTGTTTCTTGAATGAAATATCCTGAAAATTGCAAAACTCTTGTACGAGTGTTTTGTGGAGAATATATAGAAACAAATGATGTTTCTGGCAATTTATAAAATAGTTTGTAATTTGTTTGTCTGTCAATTAATCGCAAATTACAAATTTGTAATCGAGTTGAAGAATTTTTAACAACATTTTTGAAGTTATTTTCTTTTGCATCGTAGTTAGAAATATATGTTTGATGGCAATTAACTAATCCTTGATTGATATAAACAAACTGGAATGATTTGAGTTCTTTCGATTGTACTAGAATCAAACTTGGTAAATTATGTCGAACAATCAAATTTCCATAATTTTTAACATTATGAATTTGACCATAATATTTCAAGTCATCTCCTGTTTTATCTTTATAAATGAAATAGTTTATGGTCAAATGACTCATGTTCGGGAAGAAAACATCATAGTTTCCTGCTGGAAATATATAAGTGTAAGTTCCATTTTCATCAAATGTTGCAAGGATTTGTTTGATTGGATTATTTTTACTCTCGATTTCATATGTTTGTGACAATGATGATGCATTTGTCATCTCTTTTGCGTAAGCTTCGAATGGCAAATTTAATAAATTGTTTAATTTCGTTTTAGTCTTTATTTCTTCTTTGATTTTTGATTCGAAAAATTTAATTCGTTCATTTGTTATTTGTTGTTTTGAACAAATATGTTCGAAATATCCTGAACCAGGGTAAATTCCTGTGGTTGTGAATGCGTTCCAAATAACTGTTGTATTTGGTGTCCCTTCTATAAGTAAAACTCCTGATCGATCTCCAATTGAAATCATGTTTGGAGATTTGTCAGAAATTTGTGCAAAAGGAATATAACTTCCTTTCGATAAATAAAATGCTGTTATTGAAGCATTTGTTATGTTTAATGAATAAACAATTGTTTTTGGTTTGTCAATGAATATAATTTTCCAGCCACTCTCTGTTATGTTGATATGAAATGAATCTTGATTCAATGATTTGAAAATTTGACGGTTTTTCTCAAAAATTGTTTTTTGTTGATTGTCAAATTTTGAAATATAACTATCCAACAAAGAATTGCATCGAACCATCTCTGATTTAACTCGAAACATCTCTTTATTTTCTATTGGTTTTGTGTTTGAGTTGAATTGCGATGGATGAAAAACAAAGAAATAATCATCTTTTTTGTTTTCTTTGTAAGTTATGTAACAAATATGTTGTAATTCTAATGTTGTGTGATTAACATAAACTAAACCTGTTGATGCTCCAAAATGAAATCCAATGTGGTTTTCTTGTAACTGTCCGACATATTTATATGTATTTTTCTCATTGATAAAGAAATGAAATGAGAATTGTTCTCTAATTTGTGGAGTGAAATAAGTATATTTTTCTGTGATATTTATTATATGTGTATAAGAATTTCTTGTTGTAATTGAAAGTGTTTGTGAAATAGATTGTGGTAAATCTTGTAAAAATATAGCATGTTGTGGAGTTGGTGTTGGCATTGGAGTATAAATTGGAGTTTCAAATGGAGTTTGCAATGGGGTTTCAGCAGGAGTTTGATAAACAGTTTCTTTTATTGTTTCATAAGGAGTTTGTTGTGGTGTTTCTTGTGGTGTCTCAAAAGGAGTTTGAATAATTGTTTGTTGTGGTGTTTCTTTAATTGTTTGAATTGGTTCATATAATAGAATTGGAGTTTGTTGTGGAATGAAAATTGGTTTCTCTCGAACTGTTTGAATTGGAGATCTTTCTGGAATTTCTTTATATAATGTAATAATAGGAGTTGCAGATGGAGTTTGAAATGGAATATTAGTTGGAGTTTCTTTTATTGTTTCTTGGGGAGTTTGAATTGGTTCTTGAATAGGTGTTTCAACTGGAGTTTGTTTTATTGTTTCGGCTGGGGTTTGAATTGGCTTTTGTTTTTCTGTTTCTATTGGAGTTTGTTTTGGAATGAATTTTGTTGTTTGTGCTGAAATTACATTTGGTGTTTCTTTAGTTATTTGATGTGGAGTTTGTTTAACTGTTTCTGCTGGAGTTTGAATTAATTTTTGTATAGTTGTTTCAATAATTGTTGGTTTTGCTGTTTCTATTGGAGTTTGTTTTGGAATGAAAATTGTTGTTTGTTTTGGAATAATAATTGGAGTTTGTTTAATTGTTTCATGAGGAGTTTTCATTGGAATATTTCTAGGAGAAGGAGTTTCTTTTAATGATGGAATTTTAGTAACATATATTGTTTCTTTTTTAGTTTGATTTTGTTTCTGTGAAACTGTTGCAGAATGTGTTGAATGTTGAACAATAGTTTGTTTTTGTGTTTGATGAGCAGTTGCAATTGGAGTTTGTTTTTGAAGTAATTTTCTTGAAGAAACACTATTTGTTGTTTTAAAAATCGAATTTGTACTGTGAGAAATTACTGAATTTGTTGTTTGTTTTTGAACAGTTGTTGATGGTATTTTTGTAGTTCTTGGTTGTGGAATTATTGTTGGTGTTTGTTTAACTGTTGTTTTTGTTGGTATCACTGATGTTTTAACTTGATTAGAATGAATTATTTCTTGAGTTTGTTTTGTTTTTGTTGAATTTTCTAAATTTTTCATATGTTTTTGATTTTTACTTGAATCTGGTGTTTGTTTAGAAATATTTGTATGTGAAACAATGTTTTTATGAGGTATTTTAGCTGTTGTTGTTTCTTTTGTTAATTGTTTTTGATGTGAAATCTGATTTTGATTTATTAATGAATTTTTTGTTTGATTACTATGGTTTTCTTTACTGAGACTTGATTGGTTATTCTTTGTAGTGTTTGTTTGCTCTTGTTTGAGATTTGGATTTGATAAATGAGAACCATTTGATTTTCTATTCAACACTGCATCACCATCGATTTTTGATGCATCTTTATGGTGATTCACTGTCTGGTTTTGGATTTTTTCCTTTGAATTTTTATTTAATTTCATTTCTTGAGTTAAATTATGATTTTGAGATTCATTGTTTGGTATATGTGTTTTATTATTATTAGCATACGATTTTGAAGAGTTATTATCTATTTTCTTCAAATCATTTTTATCTTTATGATCATTTTGAGTAGTTAAAGCTGTTTTATGTATGTGATTTGAATGTATAGTAGGATTAGATGTATTGCGAGCTGTTGTTGGGCTATTTAGTTGAGTTTTATCTGAATTATTGGCAAATTCTCCAATTTTCTTGGAACCTTTTGGAATTGATGTATTTGATATGTTCTTTGTATTTCTTTCATTAATTCTGTTTCGTTTGTCATTTTTAATTTCGTTCAGGATATATTTTTCTGAACCAGTAAGATTTGAGACAGATTTGTTCACTCTTGTATTACCTGTATCTGTTTTATGCAATAAATCGTTTGCTAATGATAAATTTAAGTTATTTTTATGTAAATTTTGAGTTTTATTTTGATTTGATAAGCTTGAATTAATTTCTTTGTGGTTCTTTGTGGTAATATGTGAATTGCTGTTGTTCATTTCTATGTTATTCTTTAAATTTTGATCTTTCTCGGAAATATTAGATTTGCTGTTTAATAATACCTGTCGATTTGATAGCATCGTATGAAAATTGTTTCTCCTATACAGTTTATCTAGTTCAATTCCTTGAAATAAAATTAACTTCATGATTTTATCAGAATATTGATGGAATTTTGGGACTAGAGACGTGTACTCACTATCCATAAATCTACCCTCCAAAATTGGGAGAATAAAACTATGGAGAATATACCCGAAAAAACAAAATAGGAACATTCTAATAAAATGAATCTAAAACTAAAGTTTAATGAATCACTATAATAACAATATAGTATCTATTGATATTTATAATGAAAATTGCCCAATTCACATAATTGATAACTATATCACTAAACGTTGAGCTATAATATGGTTACTGATTAGACCAATATGTCGATTATATGTACATTTTGCCATTAAACTGGCTTTTTGTTATATATTTTTATATTTGATTACATCGCTTAGAATAATCTGAACGGAAAAAGCACATGACCTCGATGGGAAGTTGTATGAAGATCTGTCATCAAATTTGATATCCATGAGTAATTGTTCAAGAATTCATTTAATAAAATCACCGGATTTAATGTTCCTTATCGATGGTAAATCATAATTTTTAGAAGAAATATAGAAAATGCTAAACAATTCATTAAACAAATAGATTTACATTCATATTTTAAGCCTTAATATAAATTATTATGTATATCTCATTGCATGCGTGAGAAATCGCATAGCACTTGAAATTGCATATACCAATCATTGATATCATTGAATATTGATGGCAGATCAAATTTATTCAAAAAAGTGTCATTTTTGACATTACATGTTATTTGATTGAATTTCCGCATATCCAAAGAGTATGATGCTAAAAATCCTATAAATGGGATTTTTTATACAGCATTCAGTCATAGTATTGATGTCAGGAATTATATATCTGTTAATGCATCATCTAATTTTGTTGAAGAATTAACTGATCGTCTCTGGGACTATCAAGTTATTGAAGGAATCAGACATGAGCATGGTTGGGTATCCTATGACCGACCAAATCAATATTTAAATTTTCGATTTTTTCCTCTCATAGCTAAAATAAGTGGCTATAGTCTTATGAGTCCATATGGTAATGATGAACATCCTCGAAATTGGAAAGTGACATGCACAAAAGGCTCTTCCGAAATTATTGTTGATAATCATATCGGTGACACCACGATATGTCCTAACAGCAACCAAGTAAATGTTTGGTGCGGCAAAAATGAAGTTCATTATTTTCCATTAAGGGTCCACTGTAAAAATTGAAAGTCTCTCAAAATTGAGAGGCGATTTGCAAATAATCGTTATCGTCTTTTTTCGAAAATCCACTTTTCCTAGTGTTCTGATTAATATTTTGTGAATGTAACAATAAAGTATATGTTTTAGTAAGATGATAATACATTCTATCACTTCAAATCACACAAAAATTGCAAAATCAGCGAGTTTTATAAGAACATGATTTTTTCGAATTTTTTCGCTTCTGGATGCGTGTTTTGAAAAATAGATATTTTCGAATTTTGATTTTAATTTAAGTATAAATTTTATATTAGGAATTTGTGTGACCTATTTCCAATCATTAATTCCTAAGTTTTTCTAGGAATTTAATTGAGAAGAAATTAGGAAATTCGCTTTAATGCCATTACATCCTAATATTGTGATGCATGTAGTTTATATTTATTGAGGCTAATGCCGGAATATCGTGCATTTTATAAAAAATTCAAAGAATTGACAATTGGATAGCACAAATTTAATTCTCTAGACAAAGTATTATTGTTTATATATTTAAAGCATTATCCTTCGTTTTGAAATGTTGGCCAAAAATTTTCGTGTTATTTTTTGTGTTTCAGCATAAATTATGTATTGACTTATGAAAGATAAGCATTTTATTCATTATCATAAAGATATACCAAAACAAATTGATAAAATTTTAAAAAATGTGTATTTTAGTGGGTATTATTCTGGCCAATGCCCATTTTTAAACGATTTAATATTGACCATATCAATAGCCGACTCAATGTAAAAATTTAGATATTATTTTTTTCATTATTCAAACTTTGATAAATTTTAGTATAATGAATGATTTTGTTTCGTGTATGATACAGAAATGAAAAGCTTGATTAATATCATTTTGCATTTTTTCAAGAATGTTAGAGTACATCTACATTAAAAAATCGGATTCGAATTGCGATACTGCATCAAATTGTTGCACATCTGATAAGGATCTCAAAAGAGTAAAGTTAATTTTTTTGTGTTTTTTTAAGTTTTGGGCCTTAGTAAAAACACCATCTTGAGCAATATTTTTGGGACGACGATAGGCCTTATTTGGCCTTACAGTGGACCCTTAAACAGTACATTTACTTGTGATCAGATGAGAATTACTCAAACAGGATTGAATTCAAGAAATGTTAACTTCTTTGGTATATATCTGCTATTGATATATTCAGCTCGCTTTATTATGGTAATGGCTGCATGCTTCAAACGAATAGCGAAAATTATTATTATTTATTTTTAATGATGAATCTTCTTGAATCGTTTATGGCAATAACAATTTAAGATTAAACATTGATTTATGTAACATATTTTTCAAATTGAATTTTAAATATTTGAATTTTCGCTCTGATTATTGATGTAATTTGATTTCCATCTGTGAGGTATTCTAGACGAGAGAAATAGAACGTAATTTCTAAATTTGATAATTCGAAAAATATGGAAATAACGTACAATTTCATCGTTAGTGTATTATCTATGGCGCGACGTTACAAGAATCAAGCAAATAAGAGCCAAATCGTATTTGATATAAGCGGTGGAGATACTTCAATGCAAACAATGTATTTAAGTACTATTCCTAAGCCGCAAAATATAGTTAGGTCCGCCGGTCAAAACTATTCATTAAGAACTGACGATATCGAAGGTGCAAAACCAAGTCCACTACCAAAACCACACAAAACTGATTTATACTATCCTGACGATATTCCAGGAACTAAATCTAAATCAAACATCGTTCACGATAAACCGCCAACTAATTTACTCAAATTAGATGATATTGATGGCGCCACACCTGCTATCAAAAGGAGTTTACCTCATTCTCAAAGACACGTTAATCCCGTTGATCCAGACTACAAACTTCCTGAACCAGCAATGCCAGATGAACCACCGCCAAAGTTCGTATATAATGGTTTTGATTATGGTGATGTCGAAGGTTCTCATCCTAAATCATACAAAACTGACAAACCACCTCGCGATACATTCAAGTTAGATGATATTCCAGGAGCTCAACCTAAAACTATGATCAAAAAATTCAACGGTGACCGTTCTCTTAACGTTAAAGATATTAACGAAGATGGAATTTTCAAAACAAGAAGAAATACAAACCCACTTTTCCCCGATTACTATTACGATGGTCAAACATACCCTCGTGATTTTGGTATCCAGTCTTCCAACTACAAAACTCGCCATGATCATCTTGATCTTAGCCTTAAGACCGATGATATCAACGGTGCTGTTGCGGATTCAAGTACTGCTAAACTTCGTTCGTTCCGTCCACCCGAGAATAAGGATGAAGATGATTATGGAAAACCAGCACCAGTTCTAATGGTTCCTTCAATGAATAAGGCCACACTTGAGCTTGAGAAGAAGCGTGCAATTGACCAGAAGCATGGAGAAGTCATCAGAAAATTCGAAAACAGACATCTGATTTCTGCTGCAATGTGCGCTGATCCAGCTCAAGGATCATTAAAACAACAACGCCAAGCTAACCAGTATTCTAGGAATCCTAAGCAAGTCACATTTACTGTTACAGATGCCGATTGCAATCCAGTATAATTTGTTCTATAAAAAAACTCTCTAAATATTTGATTGTTTATTTTGAATTTGGCTAGTTTTTAAAGGAGGATGCAAAATGCATAATAAAGATAAAAAAAAATCAATATCAGAAATATTCCCAAAAAAATTATGGTTATCACACTTTAAATATGCTTAATCAAAAAAATCAAATCGTCTATTCCATGTGTACAAAAAAAATATTGAATAGACTATGTTTTTTCTGCTGATTACAATCTCAGTAATGTGTGCATTCTACACTGTACACATTATTTTACCTGTTTCAAGGGCAATGAATAAGTCACTCACTTGCCCAAATGAAAATGAATTTTTGAGAACATTTTTTGACTAAACGAATTCTCTTCATTTTCAACTAACAAATATATTTTACATGATGTTTTTTACTAGTGGAATTTGAATAACCCTAGATTTAAAAAAAATGAAGAACACAAACGAAGACTTCTTTGAATTTTCCGAAAAGCTTACTGATGAAATTGCCAGTGAAACCATAAAGCTGAGTTCAATAGAACCTTTCTTCCCTCAATACGGAGAAGAGTTATGTCAATTAATCGATTATAATACTTACATTAAACCATCGAATATCAAGAAGATAGCACAATTTATTCTTAAATTAAAGAAATCCAATGTTCAAAGTATTCAAGAGCTTGTTCCCCGAAAAATAAATTCAGGTTTATTACTTCGTGAGTTATATTTGCTAGGTGCTATATCCGAAAAAGATATAAGAGATAAATGCGAGAGCGATGATAGACTTTATTTCTATTTCTTACCAGAACTCGGTCTATCGGATGATATTTCTCCAAAAACTTCTTCAAAATTCAAGAGTATCATATCGAACCTTGAATCATACAAACAAGATGATTGGAAATTATACAAAGAGCTTCTCCAAAATGGCTTTTCTACAGATTCTGTCGGTTATCTGATCAAAAACGATAAACTTCCTCAATTACAGAGTATGATTGAATCAGGAGCACTCCAAGCAAACGGCACAGTTGATATTTCTCCATTTGAAATCAACAATTTACCAAATAAATACTCATTAACCGACAAGAAGTCTTTAATTGCTCTTGCAGCCAGATGTGGCTCCACAAAAGTCTTCAAATACTTGTCCACTAAGGTTCAAGTCATTCCTATTGAGTTACTTCCAGAATCAGCTTTTTCAAAGAGCACAGACATCATTAACGAGCTCATTGATATGAAAGAAGATCTTTGGGAGGTATATCTTCAATCTTCCATCGAATTCCACTATTCCATGATGTATCAATTTTTTGAAAGAATTACTGCATATCATCCAACGAGCGAATTCTGTTTAAACCACTTCAACTACTCTGTATTCAGGAAATACGTCAAAAGCGAGTTCGATAAGTCAGAACTCCCACTTTTACACATTGCTTGCATGCTCGGCCAATTATCTATCGTCCGCTATTTGGTCGAAGTCAAACTCCATAGTATTACAGAGAAAGAACCAAAAGAAGACAAAACGCCACTTCATTTCGCATGCCAATATGGATTTATCCAAATTGCAAGGTATCTTGTTGAAAAAGGTGCTGACAAAAACGCGAAATGTCGTGGAGGATACACTCCTTTGCTTTTAGCTGTTTCTTTCAGACATATCAACATCGCGCTCTATCTAATAATGATGGAAGCACCTGTTTCCGTCAAAACAAACGCTGGAAGAAATGTTTATCATTGCATGGCAAAAAGTGGAAGTACTGAATTTTTGAAACATCTTGATGGCATCAATTATTCGCCAAACGAATGTGATAACAAAGGATTTACACCTTTGCACATCGCTATTTCTGAAAACAACTTCAAGTTCTGCCAGGTTTTCATCAATGAATTGAAAGTTGATGTCAAATGCGTAACAAAACAAAACCAAAATTGTTTACATTTGGCGGTTAAAACAGGCAATGCGAATATGATCAAATATTTCATGGCATTCGATTACGATATGAACATGAAGGACAAAGATGGTAAAACTGTTCTTCATTATGCAGTAAAATTTGCAAATAATCCAGAAATTGTTGAATTACTTATCAAAAAAGGTTGCAATGTTAATGAAACTGATAATGATGGAAGAACATGTGGATATGATTGTTCAAAGTCATCAGAAGATGTCTTGAAAGTATTGTTGGATAACAATCTAAATATCGAACTGAAACCTAAAGATGGAAACTCTCTTTTGAGACATTTCATCGATTTGAAATCTCATAAACAAGTGAGATTAGTCATGATGAAGAATCCTGATTTGGATATAAAAGGAACTGATGGAATAAGTGATTTAGATATGTTGAAGAAACAATTTAAAGACAGATTTGTTTCTGAAGCATTAAAGATAAGGGATGATATGATCTCTGAGAAACTTCTTAGCCAGAAATCAATGTCAGGACCAATCGATATCATTGAAATGAAATTACCTGATTCAAGTTTCGCAACTCCAAAGAAACCGGAAATGCAAATTGTCAAATCTGAAAATTATTCAAATATTTCGATTACTGATATCGGTGTCAAAAGTAAAAGAACAATTATGAAGAAAATACACACAATGTCTCTGGCTGATTATGCTCCGGGAACTACTGTTAATTACGTTGAAGAAATCAAGAAATTGGAAGTTGTAAATATTTCAAGAACTCCGGCAAAAATTGTCAGAGGAAATACTGAAATTGATGTTCAAGACGCTGAAGGAAAGACTTTACTCCATATTGCAGCAAGTCAAGGACATTTGGTCGGCGTCAATTACCTGATTGGAAAGAAATGTAATGTTAGCGTTACCGATAATCAAGGAAAAACTGCTCTTCATTATGCAGCAATGGGCGGATACAACGATATCTGCAAAGCTTTGATGGATGCTGGAGCAGACAACAAAGTGCAAGACAAAAACGGTAAAACACCACTTGATTACGCAATGGAAAGAATTAATGTCGGTCTCGTCAAATTGCTTAACAATACAGCACCATCTGCTGTTGAAACTTCTAAATAAACTGTTTACTAAACATATTTTTGTTAAAACTTATGATTGATATCATTTTTATAACTTTCTTTTTGTATGATTACCCAAAAAGTAATGATTGCACATAACTTAATTGTATAAGTTAGGTTATTACGTTTAATACGATAATCTTCATATGGAATATTTCATAACAGTGTTGTAATGTTGTTCGTATATGTATTATTAGATGTGCAAAATTCAAAACTCCGTGAAATAGTGTATTTTTTATGAATGAAGAAGAGATTGATCTTAATTGGGCCAGACCTCAATAGTCCAATCAAACAAATGATAGTGCGTTCGTTAGTGTTAGCATTATATGATCAAGTATTCTCTGTATGATTCCAAAAAGGATGGAATCAGAACAAAATCTCCACTCCCTGTTTCGATTCATGAGAACAAATACGTTTTTGACTACCCTTGCGAGGATTCTTCTTCGTGTACAGACTACTCGATTGGCCTACCACCAGGTTTGTACAAGTTTGAATTGTACGGTGCCTCCGGAGGGAGCTACACCGGCAAAGTTTCCACATATCACTACCCCACAGGCGAATGTATGCCGGACGACATCGTAAAACTGTTCAACGGAAATACTTCCTGCCTCGACTCTTTTGATTACGGCGGTGCCGGTGGCTATGTCAGTGGTTTGATCAATATCAAACACTTCACACAAGCATATGCCACGATCGGCGGTGTCGGAAAAGATCTAATAAATTCTTACTGCTCCACAGCCCAAAACTGCTATCTCAAGAAAAATATGGTCCCTGGCGGATATGGTGGTGGTGGAAGCTCTGGTGGATATTACAAGGGATCTGCCAGTGGTGGTGGCCAAACTTCCGTCCAATTTTTAAAAAATACCCTCTACCATCGAGTGATCGTGAGCGGTGCTGGTGGAGGGGCTGACGACTATCGAGAAAATGATGGGAGAGGTGGCTCTGGCGGCGGCCTCGTCGCACAAGGTTGGTGGGCTAATTCAGTCTACAATGACCAATATTTAGCGAATTCCTCTTTTGGATTTACATTTGGGACTGGAGAAGCCGCACAACTTGAAAAATCGAAGCACCCCAACGGAAATCAGACTATTTCGTCTGGTTCCGATAAATGCGGCGGTGGAGGTGGTTGGTTTGGCGGATTCTCGAGTAATTATAATAACGGAGGTTGTGGTGGTGGTAGTTCATGGGTTTTGACTAAAGATGCATATATCCCACAAGACTTGATCGAATCTCGTGATGAATTTTATGAGATTATCGACTCAAATCGATACAACTTTGACACTAATTCTGAATATTTGTTTTCAGAAGTCCAACACGTTCCTGGTATCTGGCAAGGCAACGGTCGTCTTATCATCACATATCTTCAAACTAACTTGATTAACAGTTGTTTCTTAAGACCTAACCAAATGACTTTTCTTCTTTCATATTTCATCTTAATGAGTTAAATAAACATTTTTTAAGTTATAAAAAGTAATTTTACTAACTTTTGAAATTCAAATACCAAATGAACTTTTTTTTACGTATTGTCTTTGTGATTGTCTTAGACGCAAATATGAAATGCAATAAAACAAAACATAAGACAAAAGTAAGTTTCAGATAATATTTGGTAAAATTCTTAGAAATCTTCCTTTAATAAAGGAGCAAAAAGGAAAATGTTCAAACTTATGATCCTGTATCTGTCATTGTAGGTTAGCCTCATACTGGGTAATATTTAAAACAATTGGTTTGTAGGTCAGAATCATCAAGAATCTGCATTATTAAAGGTACATCGGAACAAATGAGTTTGTGCTGGTAGTAGAAGGTAAAGTTAAACAATGCAAAGTCCTAAAATAGTCTTAAGTCGTTTAATAACATCACGCTGCAACATTGTTGCTATCGTATGAGGATGAGTTTTGGTGTGCCGAGTGTGCAATGTTTTGTTCAATATATGATGTTTTCTGTCTGATTCTATTTATTCTTTCAATGATCTCGTATCTTTCATCCTGAAGGGTTTTATTGTGATCTAATTCTAATTTATACCTATTTAAAAGTTCGTCGTACATTTTCTTAAGCTGACTAGTAGTTTGCCTCTGCATTTGATTTCGTTGAATTAATTTTTTGAGATTTAGAGATGAATTGCTATCATACGATGTGATAAATCCGCTTTGGCATCGCTTCTGTGGAGAATTAAGCATTTTCAAAGCTTTTGAAGTTGATAACGGATGAAACATTTTAAATTGATTGGTGGTTTTCAGAATTTGGATTTAATTTGTGAAGCTCTCAAATTAATGTCAGGACAAATCACATATAATATTTTTGCATACTCATTCATGATTTATGAAATAAAAGCAAATTTAAAAAAAAAAAAGGTAGTGGGGCTTCCAGGGGCTGCGCCCCTTCTAGCCCCTAAGAAAGTTTGCCCAAGACCCAAGAGGAGGACCGAACCCCAGCCGACCAGCCGGTGACTTTTTTGTAGAGCACTCAAAATAGTATAACTTTGTCCGGACAAGTAAGGGTCTATCGTCGCTACAGGAAAAGTTACGGGCGTTCCAAGGAAGTATACTTTGAGAAGCTTTTTCCCCTTATAGAATGAGATAGGACGGTTATTTTACAAAACTGACAACACTTTGACCGAGTAGTTTTTTGTGCTGAACAAAAAGTGTCATATAAACATCTGTCAAAAACCGTTTTTTAACTTCACTTAAAATGCCACGTAAGCTACGTAAGAATATACGTAAGAGGAAGGGAGCATTGAAACATCCAATAGTAAAACTGACACCACAACAACAGTTGCAACAACAAATGATGAATGACCCCACTATGTTGCAACAAATGTCAAGCAACCCTATGCTTTTAAGCCGAGTTATTGGTGCACAGAGTGGAGGTTTAAGAGCGGCACTTTTAGCGAAAATGGCAGGCTATGGTGGAGCTGCAGACGGAACAGCTTATAACCCTCAAAGTCAAATGAATTTGAGTTCACTCAAAAATCAAATAACAGATGTCAAAAAGTCAAACATAGACATACAGAAACAAATAAGTGAAAACGAAAAGAAACTAGAATATGACAGACACACAAAGAAACTCAATGAGTTAAACGTAGAGAAAAAGAAGAAAGAAGAACAACTGAAAGAACTAAGTACAGAGGAATATGCAAAAAAAGTGTCAGAAAAAGCAGCAGAAGTAGCAAAAATGGAACAAGATGTTATAAATTTGAAAAACCATACTACTCAATATAAAGTACTGAAAGATGAAGAAATAAAACAAAAAGCCCTGAAGACATATATGGATAGCGATGAGTATAAAAAAGAAGTTGAAGCAAATGTAAAGGCAGAAAAACTTTTACAGTTGCAAAACCAAACCGTACAGTATGAAAACTTAGCACAAGAAAGTAAAAATAACGACGCAGCCATGCAAAAGGCAATGAAAAGCGCAGAATATATAAAAGCTAATAATGACTGGTTAGATGCCCAAGCCAACGCTAAAGCAGCCCAACTTATAGGGTCAATAAGGACAAAAATACAAGCGGATGAAGACAGTTCAAATGAAGCTTTAATGAATGCTGACTTTAAGAACGCCTTCGAAGCTCTTCATAGTAAGGTGAAACTAGTGAACGACTTCTCATCTGGAAAGAAACTGAAGTCTGAAGGTTTCGACAACGAGTTAAGAGAAGTAGCACAAAATATGACGAAAATAACAGATGCAGCAACGAGACAGGCAGTTCAAAGTGCCTATGACGCCGTTAGAGCAACTGTTGTGGAAAGTCAAGAAAAAGAGTTACAACAGACCAAAACAGACCTAGTAAATGCTTTCTTAAAAACGAAAAGTCAGGTAGGACATTATGCTGCAGATGGAACATATGTGCCAGCTGGTGGAACTTATATACCACCAAACCCTCCAAGAGAAGCACCTGCACCAGGACTACCTAAAACATTTACATCGTCACATGGACACAGACACAGGCATGCACCAAAACCAACACAACAACCAACAGTTCAAAACCCTGCACAACAACCAACAGTTCAAAATCCAGCACAACAACAACAACCAAAACCAACAGTTCAAAACCCTGCACCACAACCAAAACCAGCACAACAACCACCTCCACAACCAGCACAGCAACCAACAGTTCAAAATCCAACACAACAACCAACAGTTCAAAACCCTGCACAACAACCACAAACAGAGCAAGGACATAAAAGAAGTAGAGAACAAGGAAACCAAGAATTCTTAAAAATGCTTAAGGAAAATTATGGTTACCCAGATACTCTTGACTTTAGTGACAGATATAAAGAAGCTATTAGAAAGTTCAAGGAAGGAAATACTGACCCGAACCTATTTAGCTTTATGGTTCAGCACCAAATGGGATATAATTTCAAACCTGGAAAATACAAGCTCGCTAAGGGATATGATTTAATAGCATATCATCCAAATGACATGGATGAATTTACTCCGAGATATTTGGTGTCAGAGATAAATGATAATTCAACTATCTTCATGAAACGCGTAAAAAATAGAGACGGAACGAAAGAAGAAAGGGTTATGAATGCGGATGGCTTAAATAGGGAACTTGTTAAAAACGGTCTCGGAATATATGAAATGCCAGCAGATGAGGTACAAGAAACTCCACAGGAAGAAGTTCAGATACAACCAGACATGGAAGAAATAGTTCAGCAACAACAGCTAGAAGAGCCAGAAGGAAACGAACAAGTCCCTCCTTTGGAAACTAACTTCACAGAACTAGATGAAGATTTGGAACAGCCGAAAAATCTTGACCCTCAACAAGAGTATGCGGAGAATATGGAATCTTTCCAAGAGTCTAAGAAAAATTCGGCTGACATAGTAGAAGAATATCGAAAAATGTTCGCCGACATACAAAAGACTCCAACATCAGATGAAAATATTCAGCATAGAATGGAAGAACTGAAAGAAAGTGTACGCAAATACAACAATCCTTTTTACTTACGACCATATAACGTTCAATCTTTGGCTGAACTCGGTGAAAATAAAAGGTTAAATTTCACCAAAACATATAGAAATGAAACATTGTTTAAAGTTCATTCAGAACCTAACCAATATGGAAACAAACCTACTTTTGTTTCTGCAGACTATGGAACTACAATGAGATGGGGTCATAAAGCTAATCCGGATAGGTGGTTCATAAACTTACAACCACAATTCCAAGAAGTTGTAGACGCAATGGAAGTGAATGGTGAACCAGATATAGCTGGTATTTTCAGCGCGGCTTTAATGCCATTGAAAGATATGAAACATGCAGATATTTTGAACCAGTCTGAAATGAACATGGCTGAAGGAAATATAACACCTGACGTTCTAGAACATTTATCTCAAAGAACTACACAGAACCATAGAGATGGTATATTTGGTGAAGAGTTTAGAAAGAAAGTTAGGGAGAGAGAAGGAAGAGAACCTATTGTACATGACCTTGCAAACGAAAGTTTGCAAAATGTCATAAAAACTTACTTTGCAGACAATGAACTGAGAAGGGATGAATATTTAAGAAAACTCAAATGGACAGTACCAAATGAAATGTTAGTATTGAAAAACATGTTCCTTGACAAAATAAAACCAACTACAGAAATAAATGACGCAAGCCTGAAACGTTGGGTAAAAGCTTTCCCATTCACAAAAGATATTATTGGTTACATGGAAGAAAACCAGAATGGCTACAAAAACATATATTTGGAAACGAGCTTATTCCATATGGACAAGCTCTGTTGAAGAGCTTGAACCGGAAACTCAGGAAAGAGTCATGCAAACAATAAGCGAAGACTCAAATACAAACTATGACAAAATCTTTCTAGGATATAGGTTACCTGAGATGGGCGACCAGAGCCCAAAGGCAAAAAGGACATGGGAAATTTACAACATACTAGGTAAACATGAGGCAAAGATGCAACAACTTGAAGCAGAGGGCAAGTTACCAAAAGCGACACCAAAGAAGAAGAGTAGAACAAAGTGAAAATAGTGAAGAAGTAACTTCATCTAGTGAAAGTAGTGGCAATGAAGGAAAAAGAAGAGTTAAAAACTCAGTCAGGAAGAAAGTAAAGCTTGGTACGAAACAATTATGACAAATAAATCCAACTATTCTATATTTTTACCCATATGAAATGTACGCCGCTCAGAATATAACGCCAACAGTTTTGGATGCCATGAACGGAAATGTTTCCGAATGGTATAACGAATGCGACAATGCCATTAGAAGGTCAGAAATAGTTCCTGGAACTTACGAATATACAACTGCTGTTTCTTATGGAAACGTAGGTGAGTTTGGAGAAGGTTCTTCAACAACAGTAGATATTGCTTGCGACAGGTTTCATATTATTTCTATTGACAACTCATTCTTATACGTGGAACAAGACATTGAAATAAAACCTTCTGCCAAGTTGTCTGACAAGAAAGGTTGCAATGGAATTTTCTATGTCGGATACCAATATGCTCCAGAAGTTTTCATGGGATATAAGATATATTCTAACTCTGACTTAGTTCAAACAGTAACATGGGCAAACTATGAATGGTTCGCTTTGAGAAACTCAGTACAACCACAAGCTAGAGAACAAACAGACCAGTATGCAAATATTGAGAAAATAAGAAGACTTGACCCTAACGTTCCAGGAGTTTATGTTAACCTTTCTGGACAAACTGCAGCAGCAGTAACCAAAGTAAAACTGAAACTTAGAGTTCCTTTGTCATCTTTCCTCATCTTCAGGTTTTTAAGATACTTGCCAAACTGGGCAGGAAAAATTTCTATCGAACTTACTCCAAGCAAAAATAACTTAGTCATTGCACCAACACAAGACCCATTCACTATTACAGACGTAAAGGGAACAAATCAAACGTCATTCGCCGAATTTTGCAAAGACAAAGTTGACTTAGACTTTGGTTTCTCAAACTTCAAACAATGAAGTAAACTATTATTTCAATGCTGCTGGAACTGCTTGGGACCCAGTTAAGTTTACATGCGAAAAGTTTGAATGCAAGAGAATAGAAAGCAGACTTGCAGTCTATATGTTGGACCCAGATATTTCAAATGCTTTAGCTGCCAAATATATTGCAGTTCCACTTATGTTCCCTATACACCAAATATCTGTCAAAGACTTTGCAGGTGAAGTTGGAAACCAAAGTGCTGACCCAGGTGCAAGAACAGATATTGCTTTAACAACTGCAATGAAACATGCAGATACTATGTTTGTACTGTTCAGACGAACTATAA